AAATCAAAAAACAAACCAGTCAATGTAGAACAAAGTATTAATGCAGCATTATTTTGTTTATCTACTACATTATACCAAGTAGTTGGTTGATTATTATTTGTACGCATTTTATCATAAAGTACAGTGAAAGCATCGGTTACATCATATTCATTTGTTTCATTATCTATATCTAATTGTGTTTGTTTACAAGTTAATTCTTGTAAACGACGATTTAGTTGAGGAGTACACATCTAAAAAAAAAAATAAGAGGTAATGAAAATAAAAAACAAATAACTAACACACATCATTATCAGAAACGGGATGCCCCTAAATGCCCTGGTACGGCTGAGAGTGAGGAGAGTCCGCTCTCCCTCTACAAATGCTCTCACATGGCTACGCGAATATATAGCCTCTGCCACACAAGTCCTACTCACTGTCTTCTCGCACCACGTGTGTTGTTTACGAAATTGAGAGGACGAAAAGCGAATGTCCGGCGCTTTAACCGGGTTGGTGGACATGGCGAGTTCACCTAAAGGAGTTGTAAAACCCTCATTCCAAACCAATGCTCCATATGGGCTCCAGTATCCTGATGGAACAAATGGCGTACGAATCAATCGTTGGTCACCGGCTACCATGAGACTGCATCTCCTCACAATGCTCCAATGCCTTGTTTGTCGATCAGATGTTTAGGTCAAAGACTCCGGGTGTGGTCCCCTAAGAAAACCACCTGTTTCAGTTTGGGCACCTGTGCAATATCACAGCCCTCACACAAATCAAATGAGATTTGTGCGGCGCATATTTATCTGGTGCTTCCTTGTACCAATATTTACGTGTTTTAATAAATAAATAAATATCAGAAGGGAGTTTTGTGGAGATTTTAGTAATTTAATAGTTGAATTCGTGAGTATGATGAGTTTCATAACAGGACGAAACGATTGTCTAGTGTTTCCAGGTTTTCCCTTTCTGATAATAATCATCATGTAGTTGACTTCAAAAGGTATTTCCTGTAGTTTAATTGGAAAGCTGTGACCAGTGGAGTTCAACTGTATCTGTTGCGAGATAGTAACTCACAGAAGACAATAGTGGACAGTGGCGAATGTCGTGAAATGGTTGAAGTTAGACAATCAAACCATTGGATTCCGGCCGGCCCAGTGGTCTAGAGGTTAAACGTCCGCGCACGAGAGCTCCCTATGCTAATTTTATGTTTGACATGCTAACTTATCCAAGCGTTTTACAATGCTATGCCCAGCAAGAAAACTAAAGGTGAACGAGAAGCTAAACTATTAAAACTAAGATCATAATGAATATAACTCAAGTGTAAACATAAGAAACAGGATTACTGAAGATAGAAAGATAATGGATGGTGATTTCGGATGGGTTAATAATTTGTTTACTCATAATAACTTGTAGTAGCATTGAGTCTTAAGCACACAATTCTCATAACCGAGCAAGAGACGACGGGGAAAATAGATATTCAACATTTAACGCGGAGAAAAACCCAATGATGGAAAAGGCGGGAAAGGAGAATTACATTAATTCAAATTAATCGAATGACATGGCTAGGCCTTGCAGGCGTGATCATTCTTGTTTAGGCTATACCTTTTATTCACATTAAATATATTGTTCTATCTCCAGCCTAAATGTGTTCTCCATCATAAATTTGAGATTGTTACGATACGATGAATCGGTTCAGACAATGATATGACTTCCATGTAAGATCTTATAGGTTAGACAGTAACATCATGAAAAATCTACAATCTTAGGATTAGGTCTATTATTAAGGCAGTAATTAATAACAAGGTAGACCATAATTTTACAAACTCACGGATGAGTGGATTTCTAACCAAACATGTGGCCTTATGACGGTATACGATCTCTCGAATGACATGTAATCCATTTAGGTTTTTCCAGTGTATAATTAAATAAGTGACTAACTAAGAGATGAGTTCTCGAAGTCCCAGAAAGAATCTACAACTCGTAGGGCCCAGGTGCCCAAATGGAAGTAGGTGATCCTCTTACGAGGTTACACCCCGGAACCTTAGACCTGAAGAACTAATCCATAAGGCAGTAGAATAACGTTAAGAGACGCAGTTTCATGGTAGCCAGTCAACAACAATGGGTTCGTACGTCGTTTGTCCCTTCAGAATCCTGGGGCCAACATGCAACCTTGGCTTGGAATGAGGGTGTCCCAACTCCCCTAGGTGGATCCTTAATATCCACCAAACCCGGTTAGAGAACCGAACACTTGCTTTTTTTAGTCTTAATTCCGTAAAAAAACAGTGATGCCGTGAGAGGGCAGTTAGTAGGACTTTTCTGACAGCGGTTGTATACGTGTGGCCATGTGAGAGCATTTCGGAAAGGATAGTTAACTCTTCCCACCCTTGGCCGTACCAGGGCATTTGGGAACGAACAACTTTATAACTAAATAAGCATCTTAATTACTTCTATTGGACAATATCTGACGGCAATCTTAACTGATGATCCTCTTCTAATGTTATCTTGATAAGAACAGATGATAATCTTAATAAAAATGACATATTATAATAACAATGAAAGTGTTTATTTGGTTTTGATTAAACAATATTATTTAAAAATGACATTGATCTCAATATAAACCCGGTTAACAGTATAGCGGTGTGTGTGCCACTGATGTCGACAGATATAAGTAGTATGTATCATCAATCGAAAGTGAAATGCCTGGAGGCAGAAGGTCGAAGGAAAGAGAACGAGAACAGAGAGTGATTGGTGTGAAAATGGAAGAACAATGAAGTCTGAGACAATTGATTGACATTTTGCAAATGAAGTATTTACTGTATGATTTTTAAATTTTACTAAGACGTTCTATAGATTTTCTATTCAAATACATTCGATTGTTCCAGCTTGTGATCTAGTTCACTACAGTATTAGTGGTCAGTCAGTCAGCTACAACGCAAGGCCAGACACATATATGCATCGGACCAAGTTGCTATATCTCGTTAGCACAACAAGATCAACACCGGATTCATAGAAGTAGTTAATTTAGTGGTGGTGGTAGTAGTATATAAAAGATAGATTGTATATAAGGATATAGTATAGGAAGGAAGAAAGACAGATATGAAGCAATTTTGATCTCAAGGTTTAAGGGAAGATAAAGAGTGTATTCACCTACGCCATTGTGATTGATTCTGAACCATGTCACCTAGAGTCTCCAACCATTGGCTACGATAGTCACGCGGACCCCAACCAAGTAGTCTGCATCTGCCAACATGGCTCAGACTGAAAGTTGGTGACTTTAAGCTCTGATGCCATCGATTATAAACAACATGATTAGAGGGCAAAAAACAATCAATTAACATAATAAAAGACAAATATATCAACTAATGTACTACTGCTATATCTGAAGCGTTTCGAATTCACTAGTTAGCGAACGGAACAAAGACTTGCGACCAAAGACCGATAAGCTAGCTACTATTCTGACGCGTCCCAGACCCAGCTAACTAGAGTAAGAAGTTCAAGTTGGAAACAGGGGAAAATATATTCCGTAGCAGCCAGAAGCATAGCAATCGTAAGGGGAAAAAACCAAACGTATATGTACAGCAATAAATTGTCCCTGGGCAGCATTACAAAATAGCACACACACAAAGAAACAGTGGACCAATAGCGCTTAAGATATTTTACAAGTGGGAAATTTGACTCGAAGGTGAAAAGAGCGCTTTTGGTGCGAAAACAAAGAAATTCAAATTTTCAAAATAAAATTACAAAATTAGACCATTTACCAAGTTCTGGGGGATTTGACATCCCCAACAACTACAATCAGTATTAGTTAAAATGGGCTTGTGTAATCCATCCCAACCAAGTGGTAGTCTATGTTTAATTATTTATTTATTTATTTATTTAAACACATACATATTGGTACAAAAGGGCACCAGATACATATGCGCCACACAAAATAATGAAAGTAGGAAGAGAAGGGATGAAAAGATAAGGCGGACTGAAATTTACAACCAGAAGACTCTTTCAGTTAAGAAAGTCAGAACCACTCTTTATGAAGAAAGTAAAAGAAGGTTGCAGCAGGATCGCCAGTGGCTCCAATTCTGAGCCATATCTGATAACGTCTCTAGCCACTGTGTTGCACCATCTCTCGGACCCCAGCCAGAAAGTCGTGAACGACCAACAGAAGCTAGCCCTTTGCAGCTCTCTTTCATGCCACGACACCATGTCATACACTGACCTCCTCTCCACTTTCTCCAACCAGTCCCAGGGTCGGCAAATAATGCACGACGTGGAAGTCTCTGGGACGACATTCGTAAAACATGTCCAAGCCACCGAAGTCGGTGTTTCAAGGTGGTGACACCAATTGAATTATCGTCTCTGCGCCCCAACACACGATGCCGAACCTCTGCATTACTAACATGGTGTTGCCACTGGATGTCAGCAATCCTTCGGAGACAACGATGATAGAACATAGAGAGTTGTCTAACATCCTCAACTCGGAGAGGCCAGGTTTCACAAGCTTAGAGCAAAACTGCTATCACCGACGCGTTGTAGATCCGACCTTTTACAGCCAGACTAACATCACGAAGGCGCCAAAGATGGCCCAGATTGGCAGAAGCCGCTCTGGCTTTCATTATACGTGCATCAATCTCATCACTCACGCCACCACCAGCACTTATATAGCTACCTAGATACACGAACTTCTCAACTACTTCAATCTGCTCACCATCCAGAGTGAGTACAGGATGAGAATCCTGCCAGTCTTGTACGAGTACTTTGCACTTGGAGGGTGCAAAGCACATGCCGTACCTGCGGACACTGATTCCCAACTGATTAAGTGTTGATTGCATGCCTTGGGCATTATCGCACAGTAAGACAATATCATCCGCATACTCAAGGTCGAGAAGTCGTTCTCCAAGCAGCAGATCCACACCGCTATTACTTACATCCATCAGAACTGTTTCCAGGATGTCGTCGATGGCAAAGTTGAAGAGGAATGGTGAGATCGGGCAACCCTGTCTAACCCCACTGCTCGAATGGAACGAGGGCGAAAGGTGGTTCTATGCCCTCACTCTGCCTGAGGTGTTCGTATACAGGGCCTTTAAGATGTTAATGAACTTCTCAGGCACACCCTTCTTCAATAGACAATCCCAGAGAACAGTCCTGTCCAACGAATCGAAGGCCGCCCTGATATCAAGAAACACTACGATTGTTGGCCTGCGATAAGTATGACGGTGTTCTAACATTTGGCGGAGGGTGAATATATGATCAATGCATCCTCGACCAGAACGAAAACCAGCCTGCTCCTCGCGAGTCAATCGTTCTCGGGTTTTAAACAACCTACGAAGAATGACAGAAGTCAATGGTTTGGACGCAATCGGAAGTAGACTTATCCCCCGATAGTTGTTACAGGAACAACGTGAGCCCTTATTAAAGATAGGGACGACTATTGACTCATTCCATGATGTTAGAACACTTTCTTGCTCCCAAACCTTTGCAAACAACACCGTCAATTCCTTAGCCAGAAAGTCATCACCATCTTTAAAAAGAGCCGGAGGTAAGTCATCTGGGCCCGGTGATTTGTAGCGCTCCAAGAGTTGGAGTTCCTTGCGGACTTCCGCCTCGTTTGGTGGATCAGTCGTCACCGGCCATGGGGGGCAGGACAAACTGGTTGATGTTACCGGAGCAGCAGGCCAGTTAAACTGCCCTTCGAAAAATTCCGCCCATCGTCCAAGACGTCGACAGATGTTAGTGATTGGCATCCCATCATCCTCGTAGATTGTTTCACTCACACCAGACTTCTTGCTGCCAGTGGCTCGGGTGAGTTGGAAGAGCTTCCGGCAGTTACCAGATACAGCTGCTGCTTCCATGTCATTGGCACGCTCCGACCACCAGGCTTCTCGGTCCTTACGCAAGCTCTGCCCGATTTCACTACGTAACAGCCGTCGTTTGTGGTCAAACTCACGGTCATCCGGAGTAGACCGACGGGCTTCCATCAGTTGTAAGGAGCCGGAAGAAACCCAGTGCATATAAGAGGGACGTTTCGCGAAGCCGCTATTCAATGCAACATTCAGTAATAATACTAATCTTAGTCTAATCTTTGAAATGTATCTTGATGTCAGTCAATTCGATTTAAAAATGAAATAATTTTTTTAAAGTTTTATAGCTAATTTCATTGAAATACCTGATACGTAGTAAGATGTCATTCCACGCTGCCACGGGGTGGGCACAACATACATGGCTGCCTGTTTTTTTCCAGTTGTTCCTGAAATATATATTTAGCTTGCTTATCATTAAGTAGAACCCTGAGAGGTTTCGCTGCAGTGTCTTTCATATGTCCAGTAAGACGCAGACAGATACGTGTTCGTGCTAGAGCTCCAGAATGAGCGACAGTATTCTAGTGAGACCTCCATCGGTGGCTGATAGCGATATGATCTATTTGGGTCCGACGTTGGGACGAATCCAGGGGTCACCATGTCAAAAGATGTTTTTTCCTTATGCTTAAAGTTAGTATTTGCAAGAAACAGGCGAAGGTGCATCCACTCTTTGTGTTCTACCAAATTCTAATCTTCTGAATTCTTTATGTCTCTCTTTTTTTTTCTCTCCAAATTTATTTCATTGGATTATACTCCTTCAATAACATCTTCAAACCCTAATCTTTTACATAATGCTTATACTATTACTACATCTACCACTATATAAACAAATGGAAAAGCAAGACTCTCTGATACAATACAACATGCACCAATCAAATTACACTTGACGGAGAAGCTTTGGAGGATGTGGAAACCTTTACATATCTGGGCAGCATCATTGATGAACACGGTGGATCTGATGCAGATGTGAGGGCAAGGATCGGCAAAGCAAGAGCAGCATATTTACAATTCAAGAACATCCGGAACTAAAAACAATTGTCAACCAACACCAAGGTTAGAATTTTCAATATAAATGTTAAAACAGTTCTACTATATGGGGCGGAGACGTGGAGAACTACGAAAGCCATCATTCAGAAGATATAAGTGTTTATTAATAGTTGTCTACGCAAAATACTTCGGATCCGATGGCCAGACACTATCAGCAACAAGCTACTGTGTGAGACAACAAACCAGATTTCAGTGGAGGAAGAAGCGTTGGAAGTGGATAGGGCACACTTTGAGAAAATCACCAAATTGTGTCACAAGACAAGCCCTCACATGGAATCCTGAAGGTCAAAAGAGACGAGGGAGACCGAAGAACACACTACGCCGAGAAATAGAAACAGACATGAGAAGAATGAGCAAGAATTGGATAGAACTAGAAAGGAAGGCCCAGGACAGAGTGGGTTGGAGAAAGCTGGTTGGCGGCGTAAGTTAGTACATCTACCACTATGGGATTTGAATCGACAACTCTTCATCTCTGTGCTAATGTGATATGGCAACTCCAACTTCGTACGTACGTACGAAGTTCTACATTCTGACTGACTAACGTAGTAGGAAAGAAACTTTATCAGTAATGAATTGAATAGATTATTTTTATAAAGAAGAAAGATAAAAACATTGATTTACTTTACGTATTCCATTGAAATTTCTTTCAACTAATGGTAATTGAATGTAACCATAATCGGATCTTGGTATACCAACAGTAATACATAAATAATCTTTTTTAATCCAACGTCTTGCAAATGCTTCTTGAAGTTTTAATGCAGAATCTTTATTTCTTATGAATAGAAAATAATGTAAATGACAAATAGTTATGATTATTATTGATATTATTACAAACAAGATAAATCAATATATAGTAAACCCCCAAATGCCTTGTTACGGCCGAGAGTGTGGAGAGTCCGCTCTCCCTCTACAAATCCTCTCATATAGCCACGTGTATACAGCCATTATCAGGAAAGTCCTACTCACTGACTTCTCATAGTGGCGGGCTTGGGTGTTCTTTACGAAGTTGAGAGGACGAAAAACGAATGTCCGGCTCTTTAACCGGGTTGGTGGACATGGCGAGTTCACCTAGAGAAGTTGGAAAACCCTCATTCCAAACCAATGCTCCACATGGGCTCCTGTATCCTGAGGGAACAAATGGAGTATGAATCAATCGTTAGTCACCGGCTACCATGGGACTGCATCTCCTTACAAAGCTCCACTGCCTTGCGGATTGGACCTTCAGGTCAAAGGCTCCGGGTGTGGGCCCCTAAGAAAACCACCTGCTTGAGTTTGGGCACCTGGGCAGTATCACAGCCCTCACACAAATCGAATGAGATTTGTATGGCGCATCAATCACTAACAAGTCTTCCCAGAGGTCCTTTTATATACCAAATCAATGAATCAACGGTATATGCATCAAACAAGTTTACATGTGATTATAATGTTGCTTTTTTGTACATAACAATTCAGTAGTCAAATAAAAGTTTTAAGCGGTGTGTAAAGGGATTTTGAAATGAATGCATGAATCAAAGTAGATAAGTGGAGGGCGTTCCAACTTGGTATGATCGAAAAGTGAACGCTGTTGATCTCCTATAGAACTGAGACAGTTACATTAATTGACCACTCACTGGTAGTGACAAACGTTATGCTTATCTAGCCTAGTTATAATTTTAAATCTAGCTGCTTGATGCGAAATGGTTGTAGATGGTTGACAGGAAGCCCTGGGTATAAATGTCACACTAACTGGCAATTATCAGTTGGCAAGATACGTCTACAATTATGAGAGTACTAACGATGTTCATGGAATTTGAACCCATGTCATAATCAAAGATATTACCGTTGAGCTACCCTGTTCACAACTAATATTCTATAAAATTGTAATATCTATACCATTATTCGGTGTAATATGCATAAATGCAACTCCACCTGAAGCTGCTTTGGGGTTACTGTCTGTTCCAAGCCTAGATAGGTGAGGAAGGTTGGGTATATGGTTAAAAATCTCAGCCCAAATAAAAAAATCTAGCTAAAAAAAATAACCGGAAAAAAATCACTTTAGCCGTTCACAATTCCACTTGGAAGATGAAGGGTCTTCACTTAGAAAAGTTTTATGACGCCTCATAATGAAAGCCAAGAAGTCACGAAGCCGATGATGTCGCCCTGATAATCAGGGTAACAAATAATATAGGTTGATAGAACGTTCGTACAATGTATGAGACTGGGAGGACCAGTTGAACAGTTAGGAGATGAAAAGACACAACTTGGCGGTCCTCGGAATAAGTGAAGCCCATTGGACACAAGCTGGACGGAAAAAAATAGTTTCGAGAGATGCTACTCTGGTCATGAGGAAGAAACTGCTTCTCACACACAAGGAGTTGTTACACTGATGCTGTTGTCCAAACAAGTACGTAAAACACTTATAAGGATGGAAATCTCATGGATCCAGAATCATCAAAGCATCCTACAAGGCAACGAAGAGGCTAAAAATGAATTTTATTCAGTGATATGCGCCCACCAGTAATAGCAGTGGAGACGATAAAAACCAGTTTTACGAGGAGCTGTGGTCGAGGGTAAAGTAATGCTCAAGAAAGGACCTGACCACGCTGATGAGAGACCTGAATTTCAAGGTCAGCATGGACGACACCGAGTACGAAGACATCATGGGACAACATGGAATGGGAGAAAGGAACGAGAATGTTGAGAAACCGGGAAATCTAAGTGTTTTCAACAATATGGTCAAAGGTGACATCGTTTGCCTTCATGAACGTATACACACAAGTACATGGATTTCACTGGACAACATTACATAGAACAAGATCGATCATATCTGCATCAATAAGAAATACAGAAGGTTCATGGAAGATGAACAAAGACAGAAGCTGATATATCCTCAGATCACCACCTGATGGCGATGTGTTTGTCCAAGAGACGATGTTCTTGTATCAAATCAACATGAACTACGCTCATCATAACACTCAGCATGTGATTTGTTGTAACTTGTAGCATGCTTTATATGTGATTTCATCCGAATTCATAATCGAAACGAGTATACAATAAATACATAAATGAGTGTATTTCCGACTAGGGTCGTCGTCGTGTTTGGAAGTTAATCAATCTTCATTTGTACCAGTCTTGGTGTTCTTACTTCGCATCGTGGGAATTGTAGTGGTTCTTCGTCTTACAAACATAAGTATTAGGCAATTCCGACAAGACACAAAAATTGCTGACGCAGTCATAACAAAGACACCTCTTGAGATAAAATGGTGGTTGGAGGTGGTCAACAGGAAACCCTGGACCCGAGTTTCGTGCTACTTGGCACTCGTCAGTAAGGTGTACCTGTAATCTTGAGGGAACTGGTGCTCCCTGATGGATTCGATCCTGTGTCACTCAGCTTCACAGTCAGAGACGTTACCACTGAGCTATTTGGGTCTCGCAACAATAGGTTCCAAGCCTTAAAAATCCTTTCAAATGAGAAACTCTTATAGAGAACAGCCGGAAAGGTATTACAGAAGCTTTAACTTCAACGTGACAGGAGATGCTAGGTCCCAAGAAGCACCAGCACAAAGAATAGATCTCTGTTGACACCCTGTGCAAAATTCAAGGAAGGAAGGAAGAACAATAAAGCACCAATTAACGACAGCCGAACAAGAGTAGAGAAATTCAAGACACACGCCGAATACACAGGATCGAACTAGAGAGCTAAGAGGAGCATTAGAGCCAACAGATGAAAATACGTAGAAGACCTAGCAACAGCAAAGGAAAGAGCTGCAAGAGAAGGAAATACGAATCAACTGTATGATACAAAGAAGAAACTGTATGAATGGAGAAGTAGTGATACCACTACTAATACTACTATTTGTCTAAACCGATGTGGTTTAGTGATGATTCAAACCCGCTAACCAAATGGTTGAAAGTTTAATGAGTGAACTTCATTAAACTACTATTTCAGGATACATATATATCTATACTTTGCTTACCTAGCTATTAGTATAATTCCACTGGAATCTTTGTCTAATCGATGAACAGTTGACAATTCACCAATGTATTTTTCTTCACCTTTTCCATGATGACTTCGTTTTCTTATTAATGATTCAATACGAGGTAATAAATCAACAATATTATGTTTACAATCAGCTCCAGCTAAAAAATATATACAAGTAAGCAATGTTTTGAGATGGCATAATGGATACATATATGTATGCCTTCGAATCATTATTCATGTATTCTAAGACTAACAGGTGCCCCCAAATGCCCTGGTACGGCCGAGAGTGTGAAGAGTACGCTATCCCTCTCCAAATCCTCTCACATGGCCATGCATCTCCTTACGATGCTCAACTGCCTTGTTTGTGGATCAGACCTTTCAGTCAAAGGCTCGGGGTGTGGCCCTCTAAGAAAACCACCTGTTTCAGTCTGGGCATCTGAGCAGTATCATAGCCCTCACAAAAATCAAATGAGATTTGTGTGGCGCATATGCATCTGGTGCTTCTTTGTACCAATATTTATGTGTTCAAATAATAATAAGACTAGCAGGTAAATGATGCTGAAATTAGAAGCAGAGAACTAGGTAAAGATAGTTGAGCCATTGGTTTGAGATGTTGTGTGGCACGACTCAGATTATGTCATAATAGTGTAGATTCGTTCGCTCCATGTCTTTTCTCAGATCTTTGATTTTAAAATTACCTTATACACTTCATTCTGCACATTTATTCATCCTGAATCATACTTTTTTTGGTGAACGTTTTTTACTGCTAATGGACGTACTGTTGGTGCCTCTACTAGTCCGGGATTTGTCTTAATACTTTCCTGTTGTGCTGATACAATGATGCAATTTGAGCTAATGCACCCATGCCAGACTCTATGCGGTTAATGATATATATCTTAAACAGGGATCAACAGCTAAAAAAAATAACAACTGTTTACTAGCCAAATGAACTGATTATCAAAAAGATTAAATCCAAATCAAGGACTTGATAAACGTGAAGTTGTACTCTTCGTGGTGCCCCTTCCAACCCTCTTGGGGTTGGTGAGGACGATTGACTTTTCTGGAGGCACTTGTTGGTGATACGGCATGGGTCCTCGTAAGAATTCCATCACTAGCCTCATTTCCATGCTAACTCAATGTCTTTTTGCCACCAGTACAGACTATCTCACTTCTTTATTTCGGACAGTAGACAATCATCATTTCTTTTATTAATAAATATTATCCAGTAAATATATATATATATATATAACTTGGATATAATAAAAATATTATTAGTTTATCAAATGACCGCTTAATGGTCCAGAGGTTGGGTATACGCGCATGAGACCGAAGCCCCTGTGCTGAAAACACCCCCATTGCCCCTAAATGCTCTGGTATATTGGAGGGTGAGGAGAATCAGCTCTCCCTCTCGAAATACTCTTATATAGCTACTGTCAAGAAAATCCTACTCACTGCCTTCACATGGCATTGCTGTTCTTTACGGAATTAAGAGTAAGAAAAGCGAAAGTCCAACGCTTTAACTGAGTTGGTGGAGAAGATTTATAGCTCAAGTGGATGATTTTGATGGAGTTTTGTTCTCTGTGCTCCATCAAAAAACAGAGGGTCTACCCTGGGGGAGTTGGAAAACCCATATTCCAAACCAATGGTTCGCATGGGCTCCAGTATCCTGAGGAAACAAATGGTGTATGAACCAACTGTTCATCACCAGCTCCCATGGGACTCCATCTCCTGGAGAACAGTAAGACTAAAAATGGCAGACTAAAGGTTTAAGGTCGAGTTTGTACTGAAGACTGTAGTGGAGTGTGATGGGAGTAAGATGTTTGCCTTAGAGAATCAGCATCTGCAGCGATGTTAACTTATCCTAACGGAGAGAAGGATTAGCAAATTTTGGGATTAAATATGATTACTTTCTGAGAAAAAACACCTATGAAATTTGCATAAACAAATAAATAGACTTACGTTGAGATGCCATTCCACGTGGTTTATTCATAGTGATCACATTTTCTATTTCCGATTTTATAGAAGATAAGAGAATAAAAAGTAATGTTTGAAATAGTGAGAATGATTATTTTTAAACTACAAAAAAATTGCATAGACAGGAGATCAGTTCAGATCCGAATAGTTCGGCGGTAACATCTTGAACTGCAATGCTAAGTACTGTAGGTTGAACTCCTATAGGGAAACATCAGTCCCCTAAACGATTCTAGGTACATCTTGCTAATGAGAGCTAACTGGCACGTAATCTAGTTCATGTAAGGTATACGACAGGCAACCTCCAACCATATAACGCAGATAATGTCATATTGCTGACTTCGAATTCCAGTGAAACAAATGTATTTGGTCATAGTCAATCAAGTTAGTAGTGAGATAGCGAGGCTCAGTAATGACATTAGTCAAAAATTATTATTGATCAGAAGGGGTTTTTTGTGAATAGTTCAATATTTTCACAGTTGAAATCATGAGTCAATTGAAACTAGACCACCATGGAAAACCTCGAAGCACTGGACAAAGTCCGTTTCGTCCTATCGTGGGACTCCTCAGCAGTGCACATCCACGACCTCGCCATGCGAGATTTGAACCCAGGACCTACCAGCTTTGCGCCGGAGCACTTAACCGATAGACCGCTGAGTCGGCCGGCATCCAACGGTGTTAATGTCTAACTTCAACCAATCCATGAAGTTCGAGCAGCCGTTCACCAATTGTCTTCAGTGAGTTGATATCTCTACAACAGACTTGGTTGAACTCCACTGGTCATTGCTTTCCACTAGAACTCAAGGAAACATTCCTAACAGTCAGTCACTAGTGAACATATGATTATAGATCAGAAGGGCTTTTTGTGGATATTTCAATATTTTCATGGTTGAAATCATGAGTAATTTAAAGGTTACTGTTTTCGACGAGATTTCAAGTACCTCAAGTCTCTACCTAATATACTGTAAATTACCAGTAAGAAATAGACCTCGATTTCAAACACTAAAAATTGGAATGTAATGGCCCATATTTAGAATTGCGGTCAATTGGTTATAAATAGATACACTGACTATCAAAGACAATAATTGTTTCGAATTCGACGTTATGTTCTCACTTGTCTGTCATCCCAATGGGATTGAACTTCATTCGACTTGTCTCAAGTCAGGATTGGGATGGGAGGGAAACAAGAAATATCTCAAATAAACGGAAAGAATAAAGTAAACAAAAGGGTTTATATATAGTTAACTTGAAAGTGACCAACTTGGTCTCGTGTGGGCTAATATCACTTCCCGGTTGCCCACATCGTGGAAGGGTATTTCTCTAGGGACCTGAGAAAGAAGTTGGATTACTGCTGGTCTTAACGACATGGGAGTGTGACCGTAGTGCCCAAAGGACAACTGCTTGAGGTCGCTCACATACGACCTTTTTGTGGGTAGTTTTTGTATTAACTCCCTTCTTCAAAAAACCTTACCGACAGAGACGGAAATCTGTGGGATAAGGCGAGGTGTGCATTTTCAGGGTCGACCTTTTCTAACCCCACCTCTCCTTGTGGGAAGACAGCATCGCTGTTATACTGGTTGTCTGAAGTACGACTTTGCCTTCGGACCTTAGTGTGCTGCTTTTAGTCTAACCGCTCTTCAACCGATCTCTCTGGCACGGTAGGACCTTGAGGAACGATTGTTCCAGCCAGTATATCTCGATTGGTTTATCACGATAGGCAATCCCGACCACTACGTTAAAGTAGCAGCAACGGTCGGGATATATTGTTAGCAAAAGTTTCTAATATATTATCGACCTATCCACTGATGCTTATTGGCTGAAATGCACTAATCAGGATATTTCGAATAAAGTTGCACTAAATATGCAACCATTGAAATTTCCATCTTGTTAACAGTCAACTTGATTAAACTTCATGCCGCTAACAACTCCTCATTAGAATTTCGGTAATCCATTCTCAAAGCTGGAGAAGATTTGTAGCTCAGGTGGGTGATTTTGATGTAGGTTTGTTCTCTGAGCTGGATGGTTTGGTCGTCGAGCTTTCATCGTCCTTCTGAACGACATCATCGGCAGCACGAACTTCGGGTAGAAATGAAGTGTTTGAATTTCTCCATATGTGATTCACAGCTTGTCCTGTGCATATTGGAAAGGACAACAAGGCTGCTGAAAACATTCGGAATAGGTGTAGCCCACAAACCAACAAAATCTCTGTACTCAATCTTATGCAAACCAAAGGATGAAATGGTAAAAGAAGACAAAACAAACAGGATACAGGATCAATTGTACCAACTGCGACAAACACTACATCGGACAAAGCTGATGTCCCCTGCATCTTCACCTACATGAACACCAATTAGCAGTCAAACGCCACGACATTTCTTCACTCATATCAATACACGTGGACAACTACGGACATACATTCGACTGGAAAAATGTGCAGAATTCAGATAGAGGCAATTCCAAAAACACCAGAGAATTTTTAGAAGCTTGACACTAAGGTCAATCAGCAATAAACAAGCACATTGAAATCAATCCAATTTATCAACCAATCAAGAAAATTATGCAGAAACATAGGAGCAAAATTGAATTATTTTTTCTGGTTAGCGTTTTTTTAGCGAGTTAGCTTTTCTACGGGATGGGGTCGTTAACCCCATGGCCAACCCTCCTCCTTTACCCGGGCTTGGGACCGGCAGTAACTCTAGAAAAGCTGCAGGCGGAGAACACGGACCCAATCACACTTGATGGCGAAACACTGGAAGAGTTGGAAACATTCACGTACCTGGGAAGTATCGTTGATAAACAAGGAGGATCGGATGCAGATGTAAAGGCGAGGATTAGCAAAGCAAGGGCAGCATTTCTACTAGACCTAAAGGTCTAGTCCACAAGGCAGTGAAGCATCGTTAGGAGATGCATTCCCATGGTAGTCGGTGACCGACGATTGGTTCATACGCCGTTTGTTCCTTCAGGATACTGGAGCCCATGTGAACCATTGGTTTGAAATCGCGGTTTTCCAACTCCTCTAGGTGGACAATGTACATCCACGAACCCGGTTAAAGCGCCGGACATTCGCTTTTCATCCTCTCAATTTCGTAAACAACACCCTCGCCACGAGAAAGCAGTGAGTAGGACTTCCCTGACAGAGTCTATATATTCGCGTGGCTATGTGAGTGCCTTTCGAGAGGGAGAGCGGACTCTCTCCACTCTCGGCCGCATTTGGGGGCAATTATTCATAAGTAATTTTAGGAATAGAGAAAACGAAAAGTGAAATGAGTTATACATTGTGACTTTTTTTAACAAACCTCTTATTTCTATAATTGATTTATACAATACCATTGCAGCTTCTTCTTCAGTTAATAAATCAAATTTATATGGATCTTCATCCGGGACACGATATCCTTGACTATCCAATTTTTCTGGAATCGATTTCGATATCGATTTATTGGATGGTATATCTAAGGCTAAAAAGTAACCCGAAAATAAAATGTATTCATCACTGAAATAGTATAATCACGTTTAAGATATATACTGTGAGGATGGTTCACAGGTGAAGTTGAGAAAGCCCAGAAGGAGCCCGACATATTCCATCCAATCAGCTTTTGGAAGAATATTCTACAATTACTACATATAGCTTCCCTATTGGACAATGCTGATAACTCCCTATGTGTGGATTGGTTAACTATAATGATGATTTGGTTTCTATTAAAAACTATAAATACCTAACAATTTTATACCATAATCGACACTGTTTGGAATAAAATTCCTTCTACTTGTCTTCTGTCTTCTGATTTGTGACTTGAGAGGGTTCTGGCGTTCGAGTGCTCAAGTGTTATGCGACCGACTAAGAAATCTAAATTCGCGATATAACATATACACATCTGAATTGTGATCTGAGTAGGATGTAGCATGCGTGTTTCATCCCAAAATAAGACTCGTCAGATGATTATATATGCCAAATTTTAGTGTGGATATTCACATTGAGACTTGAACCCAACACCTGACGCTCTAAATACTGATTAAAATTTAACCAAAGATATTGACAGTGGGATGATTTAATTCCGTTGAAAAAAATTAGAGGTCATTTGGGCAGTGTTCAAGTTACAATATGGATATCAATACTGGGGTGGAGATACATTCAGAGGAAGAGTCCCAAGTACGACGAGACGTGTATCTTGGATTCTACTGCTACACACAACCCGTTTATTAAAATTACCTAGTTTTCCTCTACGACTGGTAAATTGTAGTACTGATGAATAAGCAAGTCCTTTAATAAATCCTAACTTATATTACCACCCTGACCTCTGCTAAATTCTTAATGGATGTTCTTGCTTTTGGTCTTAGGTTTTACGTCTTCAGGGTTATTGCTGTTACTACATAAACAGGATTATATTTTGAGAATATGGAAAACCTTCCAAAACGTCCTGTCCTCCTTTTCTTATCCGCGTATAGATAGATTGTTAACGGTTTGCATACTTTGCTGACAACCACTAGTGACTCTTAAAAATGACCCTGAGGATGTTAGACCAATATTTAGCCAATCAGTGTGGAGACAATACAAAAGGATAGTTTATTACACAAATAACATTAAAACTAGGAGTTTTGGGTCAATGGAATAAGATATTTGCCGATTGTGGAGAGCTTTTAATAGCTCACTTTTTTGTGAAGTATATAGCGGTGATGATGTTTTCCAGAAAGACAATGAGTGCTTAAATAAATGATCAGATCATCCAGCTTAGAGAACATAACACTTCGAAAAATAACCATATTACCCAATCTTTAGTCAGTATAGGACCTAGCGCGAATGTGTATAAGTCCGGATAGTATCATCTCACAGCAGTGTAGCGCGCGAGAGAGAGAGAGAGACAGGGAGACTAACAGATTGTTGGGGAGATCCAGAAAACTTCCAAAAAAGGCTCTGAAAACACTGAAAAAATTCTTATCCAATCAGCATTCACTAGAAGTTTTGCCAGAAACATCTGGAAAGTGGAAAGTCACATGTTGAGTTTCTGATTGGATGATTACTTATACTGTAGTGTGGTCTACTTATATCCATATAAGTAGTGTATGGTGAGGGTCAGTCATAGAATGTATTTTGGCAGAAGACCGATAAAGAAAGAACTGAAATGAAGCTCAATTGGTAGGAAAATGCATGAACAGTGGAATTAGAGAAGATGAACTCATATTTGCAGAAGAAACAGTTAAGATTGAGACAATTGATTGTTATTGTGCAAATTAACTGTTTACTGTATGGTTACCAACTCCGCCTGTAGCTCCTCCGGGGGCTACTGCCGGTCCCAAGCCCGGGTAAAGGAGGGTTGGGCATGGGGTTAGCGACCTCATCCCGTAGAAAACTAACTCCCAAAAAAAACGCTAACCAGAAAAAATTATTCAAACCATTTAAACTCTGCCCTGGGAGTTGAAGGAATAATTATGACGTCTCGTGATGAAAGCCGAGTTCCTTCGGAAGTCATGAGGCTGATGCACGTTCTAACAACCAGAGCGACAATTTTTATAGGTACATGGAATGTATGGTTATCAGAATTTAGTGAGGTAGTCTGTAATTTGTGCCTAAATACATTCGATTGTCCCCAACCGGTGTTCTGTTCACTACAATACTACTACTATTGTAGTGAACAAAACACTAGTTGGGGACAATCGAATGTATTTAAGCAAAAATTACAGACTATCTCAGTAAATTCTGATAACCAAACAATGAACAGTCAATTTGCAAATTAACAACCAATTGTCCAATCTTAACTGTTTCTTCTCTAATTTCATTGCTCATGCATTTTCCAAACGATTGCGCATCATTTCAGTTCTTTGCTCATCGGTCTTCTGCCAAAATACATTCTATGTCTGACCTACACCATATACTACTTATATAGATATAAGTAGACCTCATCACACTATGTTTAGTAGCTTTCCAGAATTTTCCGGAACCCCAAGGCCATTTAAAATACCATAAAAACCCTAGACTTTCTGTACAGGAACAAAACTTTGGAGTAAAGCGGTTTCTTCCATGTTTTGCACTTTTTTCCTCATGTTCAAGTTGTTGTGTAGATTTAGCCTGGGGGGGGTACTAGAAGAGCTTAGGAACCAAATCTATCGTTCAGTTAGAAGACTTATCGAAGATAAATGGAGAAAAAGAATATAATAGTAAATCAAATGAAAAGCTGAATAAAGGGAACGTGGTCTAAAAAAAGAACAAACGAAATTGTCGAATGAAAGTTGAGTAGCAACATTTAAATTGAAGTTTAGAGGAAGTGAGGTACCAGATACATTTGCACTGCACAAATCTCATTCGATTTGTGTGAGGGTTATGATACTGCTCAGATACCCAAACTGAAGCAAGTGGTTTTCTTAGCGGGCCACACCCGGAGCCTTTGACTTCAAGGTTTCATCCACAAGGCAATGGAGCATCGTAAGGAGATGCAGTCCCATGGTAGCCGGTCACCACCAATTGATTCATACGCAATTCGTTCCCTCAGGATACTGGAGCCCATGTGCACCATTGGTTTCAAATCACGGTTTTCCAACTCCCCTAGGTGGACACTCCACATCTACCAACCTGGTTAAAGCGCCGGACATTCGCTTTTCGTCCATTCAATTTCGTAAACAACACCCTACCCTGTCACGAGAAGGCAGTGAGTAGGACTTCCCTGGCAGAGGCTGTATACGCGTAACCATGTGAGAGCATTTCGAGAGGGAGAGCGAACTCTTCTCACTCTCGGTCGTACCAGGGCATTTTGGGGGGAGAAAGAAAGAATGCACGTGAGCACCCAGTAGAATTAACATTAAGCCACTTAAATACTAAAGTACACATATATGTACGCGAAAAAAATGTATCAATCATTACACAATACATGACAATAAATTCAACAATAAAATACTTACTAGTACCAGTGTACAAATTTAACTTGGTTCTTTGACGGATAATTCTAACTACATCTGATCCATATTCAACGTCATCATCGTGATGATGACCATCATCATCATTTTCGTTAAATTTCAATGAACCACTATTATTATTTCGGCGTACATTATGATCAACACGAACAGTCTTGGTTACATGGACCAATTTTTCTTGTTTTCTTAGATTTATATTACTTTTCGAAGTAATATCAGTGTGTGTATTAGTAGTAGTTATAGTAGAAGAAAGATGAGGAATATGCTTTTTACCAATCCTAGCTTTCTGCTGTGAAATTACCAATGGATTAACAGTACTGTTAACTACTGAGCTGATATCTTCCATTGGATTTGTATTAGATCCTGTGGAACCTGAGTACATTAATAAGAGTGAGGAAATAAAAGGAAGGATTAAATTAAAAGATTAGCCAAATCCTTTCCGTACCATATTCAAAACAATCTATTTGATATGCTTATCAGTCAATCGGCTCAGTACAGAGTTGGATGGAGAATGCTGGTGAGCGGCCTATGCTCCTCGACGAGGTGTAACAGGCGTAAGTAAGTAAGTAAGTATCAGTCAATCATTCAATCACAACGTAAAAACTTGGTATGTATGTACATAGGTCAAGTTGCCGTACCGCATTAGCAAAGAGAGATGAAATTGTCAGGTCAAATCCCAGAATAGTAGACGTAGTAATAGTATCACGAGTAATAAGTTGATTAACTTATGTAGATCAGAGGGAGATTTTGTGAAGAATTTAGTATTTTCATAGTTGAAATCATGAGTCAATTGAAGCTAGACTACCATGGAAAACCTGGAAGAACTGCTTTAAGGCTGTTTCGACCCATTATGGGACTCGTCAACAGTGTGCATCCACGATTCCGCACTCGCAAGATTCGAACCCAGGATCTACCAGTCTCGAGCCACAGCCCTTAATCGATAGACCACTGAGCCGGCATCCAACGGTGTTAATGTCTAACTTCAACCAATCCCCGATTTTGAGCGACCGTTCACCAATTGTATCCAGTGAGTTGATATCTCTACAACAGACTTGGTTGAACTCCACTGGTCACTGCTTCACACTAGAACTCAAGGAAATATTTCTTGAAGTCAGTCACTAGTGAGCATATGATTATAGATTAGAGGGGGTTTTTGTGAAGAATTTAGTATTTTCATAGTTGAAACCATGAGGTTTTTCATGGTGGTCTAGCTTCAATTGACTCATGATTTCAACTATGAAAATAACTTATGTAGTACAATAATAAGACGTTCATAATGTATGATGTATTAACGCAATACATTTATGATAATCTGATGATATATTCGCTTGCAAGGACATTTATATCTAACAAATGAAAGGTCGAACCAGACAAGTTTGAAGATTAAACAGAGATAATAAGTAGAACAACATGGACATTGCTCTCGATAATAAATCAGGATTACCAGGGTAGGTTCTAAGTGAGAACAAACTGTTTTTTGACTACCTAAGGTAAATTTGATACTTTGTATGGGGGAGGCTCCAAAAAACCTTAGAACTCGCCTCTGGCACTTCTATACAGAACCACACCTCATGCATACATCTGACAATTGAATGTGTGACCAGATTGTTCGAAATGTATATAATATATATAATATATATATCTCACAGTTCTGATAAGTTGCCTTCTGACTTGATTATCTAAATAATATCATAATTGAATAACCCAGTAAAAGGAATGGTTTTCGTATCACACCTCTGTACAGTCAGCAGTACGACTTCGCCTTCGGACCTTTTAGTCTTACCGTTCTTCAATCGACTGGTCTGGCATGGTAGGACCTTGAGGGATGATTGTTCCAGCCAGTATAGCTCGATTGATTCATCACGATAGGCAAGCCCGACCACCACGTCAAGGTAGCAGCAACGGTCGGGCAGAATGGTTGTTGTTGAATGGTTTTCGTATCGTACAAATCAATTTCGCGTGAATAACTAATAAAAGTGATAACACTAATATCGAGGCTGGAATGAAAATGGTTATATATGAATCATTTGATTTGAATTTAATGGTTGAAATCCCTCTTCGTAGCAAAGACAATTAATATGTAATTAGTGTTTGAAAACAAAAACCTAGAACAGACAGTTTCTAAGCATATTTAGGAGCGGTTGAACCAAAACGTGGCATCAGTGCTTGAGGTCACCAACTTTCAGTCTGAGCCATGTTGGCAGATGCAGACTACTTGGCTGGAGTCCGCGTGACTATCGTAACTAATAGTTGGAGACTCTAGGTGACATGGTTCAGAATCAATCACAATGGCGTAGGTGAATACACTCTTTATCTTCCCTTAAACCTTGAGATCAAAATTGCTTCATATCTGTCTTTCTTCCTTCCTATACTATATCCTTATATACAATCTATCTTTTATATACTACCACCACTAAATTAACTATTTCCATCAATCCGGTGTTCATCTTGTTGTGCTAACGAGATATAGCAACTTGGACCGATGCATATGTGTGCCTGGTCCTACGTTGTAACTGACTGACTGATTTAGGAATGAATACTTATAGAATTTCTAATCAATAAAGATAAGTTAGCATGATCCATGTTAAAGTTTTGAAGATATTGAGAAACATTAAGCTTGAAGACTCTAGATGCATAGGGCTTCAAAATACGGTGTTCCCCAAACACAGTTACGACTTTAAACGTATTTATTTATGTATTTAAACACATAAATATTAGTACAAAGGGGTACCAGATACATATGAGTCACACATTTTATGTGAGGGCTGTGATACTACCCAGGTGCCCAAACTGAAGCAGGTGGTTTTCTTAGAGGACCACACTCAGAGCCTTCGACATAAAGGTCTGATCCATAAGGCAGTGGAGCATTGTGAGGAGATGCAGTCCCATGGTAGCCGGTTACCAACGATTGATTCATACGCCATTTGTTCCTTCAGGATACTGGAGCCAGCCCATGTGCACCATTAGTTTGGAATCTGGGTCTTCCAACTCCCCTAAGCGAACTTTCCGTGTCCACCAACCCGGTCAAAGTGCCGGGCATTCGCTTTACATCCTCTCAATTTCGTAAACAACACACACGCGACTGTGAGAAGGCAATGATTAGGACTTCCCTGACAGAGGCCATATTACGCATGGTCATGTGAGAGTATTTCGAGAGAAAGAGAGCGGGCTCTCCCCACTCTCAGCCATACCAGGGCATATGGGGGCCCATAAACCCTTACAATAATCATATGTTATAAAATCTAAACATATATCACTTTGAAAACACAATGATCATAATAATAACAAACAAGTTCATTACCAAAATATTGTGAATCAATCTCACATAAATCATCTAAATGAGATGTATCTGACTGAAGTACTGTTATTTCAGATGTATTCTTCTTAGATTTAACATTCGTTCCAGAATGTAACTTAATATTATCATCATCATTCACACCAAAGTATTGTTCATCAATAATATCTTTATAAAAAAAAAGTAATACATGTATAAATACACACACACACTATACTTTCTGATGCTGATAATAAAGCTTTACGTTTATTTTCTTCATGTTTAATCCCTTCGACATTTTGATCATATTCAATACCGAAATAATCCTAAGAATTAGAATTGTATTAGTTAAATAACTAACTTAATGTATTCATCATTATCAGTAAGAAAAAAAGGCAACTAGTGATTCATTTATTTATTTAAACACATACATATTGGTACAAGGAAGAAACCAGATACATATACGCCGGAATACTGCCCAAGTGCCCAAACTTAAGCAGGTGGTTTTCTTAAGGGGCCACACTCGGCACCTTTGACTCGAAGGTCTAATCCACAAGACAATGGAGCATCGTCAGGAGATGTAGTCCTATGGTAGCCGAACACCAACGATTGATTCATACCCCATTTGTTCCTTCAGGATACTGGAGCGTTTTATGGGAGAGGACAAACCAGATTCCAGCTGAAGAGGAAATTAAGAAAAGACGTTAGAAGTGGATAGGACATATATTAAGGAAATCACCAATGTGCATTACAATGCAATCCTTTACTTGGAATCCGGAAGGGAAGAGGAAAAGAGGAAGGCCAAAGAACACATTACGCTGGGAAATAGAAGCAGATATGAAAAAGATTAATACCAACTGAAAAGAACTGGAAAGGAAGGCTCAAGACAGAGTTTGATGGAGAATGCTGGTGAGCGGCCTATGTTCCTCCACGAGGGGTAACAGGAGTAAGTAAGTAAGTAATACTGGAGCTCATGTGCACCATTGGTTTGGAATCAGGGTTTTTCAACTCCCCTAGGTGGACACTCCACATCCACCAACCTGGTTAAAGCGCCGGACATTCGCTTTTCGTCCTCTCAATTTCGTAAACAACACCCCCGCCACGAGAAGGTAGTGAGTAAGACTTCCATGGTAGAGGCTATATATGCGTGGCCATGTGAGAGCATTTCGAGAGAGAGAGAGCGGACTCTCCTCACTCTCGGTCGTACCAGGGCATTTTAAAGCAAAAACTAATGAAACGTCTACACATTTGATTCATTTATCACATCAGTAAATCTTTTATATAATGTATTCTACAATGTTACAATAGTAGAATGAAAGTACACTTGTTCTTAAAGATTAAAACAATTTAAAAAGAAGAGTAATAGAAGTAATTTATTTTTTTGTTTTCCTGTAAAGCTATTAGTTAAATATGCATTAGCACTGGATGATAATCTGGTGCATCTGTAAATATCAATCCAACAAATAGATGATTCTTCCATTTTGGATAACGTAATACTTGGCAACAAATAGAATTGTCTAATTCAAATCCAAAATGTTTCATTGTTTCATCAGTTTCTTTGAGTATAGCTTCACCATGTGCTCCAATATACTAAAAATGAATAATGACGTTTATTAGAATATATTACAAGAACAAACCGGTTTCCCAGTGAACGGATCAATAAAATCTGCCCAATAGCCTAATTCTTTTAATGATGAGCATATTTCTATTGCTGAAGTAATAAACTGGAGACCATTTAAAATATTTTTTTAAAATACTTACAGATCGTGCTAATTGTTCATGTTCATCTGCAGCTTCTTCCTCACTCCATCCATCTAACGATTCATCACTAGTGTGATGACTTAGAATTAATGCTGTTAAAGGTTTGAATGAAAGTCTTCTCGATGGAAATACATTAGCTAAAGCTAAAAATTTATATATTTAAGTATAAGGAAGTTCAACCTTGCTGAACTAGCACTGGACAAGTGTGTATGGTACATTCAAATTGATCTGATATCGGTGGAATTATTGAAGGCTGAGATTCACTGAACTAGTTGGTAAAAAAATAAGTAAATTTAGATAAGTTAACAAAAAAGATGTAATTTTATAGAGTTGAGACCATGAGTCAATTGAAGCTAAACCACCGTAGAAAACCTGGAAGCACTGCATGACGGCCGTTTCGTCCTCAGCAGTACGCATCCACGATCCCACCTCGCGGGATTCAAAACCAGGACCTACCAGTCTCGTGCCAGAGCAATTAACCGACAGAACACTGAGATGGCTGTCATCCAACGGTGTTGATGTCTAACTTCAACCGATCCACGAAATTGAACAACCATTTCGCCAATGTCATCATTGAGTTGATATCTCCCAACAGACCTGGTTGAACTCCACTTGTTACTACTTCTCATTAGAACTCCAGGAAATACCTCGTGGAGCTAGTCACTAGTGAGCACATGATCATTATCAGAAGGGGTTTGGTGGAGATTTTAGTAATTTTATAGAGTTAAAATCTCAACTCTATAAAATTACTAAAATCTCCACCAAACCCCTTCTGGAAATATATGTAAGTCTGGCGAACTGTAATCTTCATTAAAATAAGAAATCAGCTATGCAACAAAAAAAACTATTTCCAAAATAGTGTGATTAAGCAGTTTTTTTAAACAAAGGGACAGATAGAAGCATAGGTGTATCCTCCCGATTTTCTAATCTATAGAGAATACAGTGAGATATCAAAAAAGTGAAAATAACAATAATAGAGATAACAAAAGCGACAAGAAAGTTTTGAAAAAGATAGATCAAAGTTCATCAGAGAAATAAATGAAAGATAACATCCTGACCACTATTTACATTAGGTCAATGCATAAATATTAATAATAACTAAAGTCGACAGCAGCCTATGCCAGAACTAATGCTTGATGATGAGTCGTTAGAAGTGATCGAAACTTTATGGATCTGAGTAGCTCTGTATGATAATGTTGAATTGTCCAATGAAGCCAATTAACGTATAATGAAACCTCGAGTGAGCCCATGTGATGTTAGTCTAGTTTTATAAGGTTGGGTCTACAACAATTCGGTGAGACCAGTTCTCCTCTATGCATGTGAGACCTGTTCTCTGATTTGAGGATGTTCGGTAACCGGACTCGATCACCGTTGTCTCCGAAGGATTGCTGGTATCTAGTGACAAATCCGGTTAGTAATGTGGGGGTTCGGCAGTGTGCGTTTAGGCACAGTAACGACAACTTACTTGGTATCATCATCTTGAAATATCGGCTTCAGAGACTTGGAAATGTAACATGGATGTCATCCCATAGATTTCTACATTTTGTATTTCGATATTTAGAAATCTGATACTTTACAGTAAAATCTTATAAGTTAGATTTCGACATCAAACTAAATTTACTATCAAAAGAACCTGAGAAACTTTGCTTATTCGTCGACATTAGACACACTATCTCTCAAAGTTGTCACGCATCGGTATCCAATAATACACTTTCAAGGATCTTGAAATCTCAGTCGATGAAGATTCATCACCTCATCAACTGATTTACCATCGTTCCCTAATACCCTGCGTCTAACCTCACTATTACTTACCCGGTTATCCCAGCAGATGCGAGCAATATTTCTAAGGCATCTGTGGTCAAATACTAGTAACCTACGAGTATCTTCTACTCTTAATGGCCATGTTTCACAGCCGTAAAGTAGGACAGAGCGAACTGCTGCGCAGTATACTCGTCCCTTAATTCATAGACGGAAACAAGTAATTGTCACTGAATACAAAATCAATGTGAAACAGACAATAATAGGAAAATGCTTTTAGAATCAAATTACTAGGTAGACGTGACAAATAGTTGAAGTTAATGGACAGAAACCAAGAAAATGAGATACCTAAAAGAAAACCACTTGAAATCGACATGAGAAACTGAGATTAATTTTCTTCTTCACGTTTCATTTAGAGATAAAGTATTTTCAACAGTATCCAGCTTGCCTGACATAGTATACCTTTATGTGCCCGGTTAATAAGTGGGCCCCTTAAGTTCAAACTGAAAGTTACCAATCGTACACATAGGGATCATATTAGACTTGGGAAATCTTGAAGGGTTAAGTCTAAGTCAATCAATTAAACTCCTATTTAGTGATACTTATAAACAGGAAGAACATGACAAACAGGAATGTTAACCAAGGAAACAGAGGAATAAATTTTATTTTCCTTAACTACTTATCGTCTGAGGCAAGTATTTAATGCTCACTATGTTATGTCGGCTTTTTTTCCATTCGCGCAAGAAACAAATACACTTACTACTTGATAGTGGAATATTACATGGTAAATTATATATAGCCGTAACGAAACCTCTGTGCTATTTATATATAGCAACGCAACCCCAAATTATTATAAGATTCTATGGAAGCATTGAGGAAGACCAAAATTGTCCCCAAACATTATGAGGATAACCCCAAAACTGAGGATTTTTCCCAGACCCGAAGAAATTTTGGGGGTTTTGTACCATTTCCAAAGTTTTTAGTTGCGGCTCTTCCAAAGCGGACGAAAATCTCCCCAAAATAAGGAGATCGGGCATATGGTGAACCTCGCAAAGTAGTTAAAAATCGCAACTCCCTCAAAGACTTGAGAATACGTGTTTCAATACCTTAACCCCCCATTCACTCAAAAACTTATGAGCGATAACCAACGACATTCTTACCTCTTTTTCATTGTAAACATTCAAAAGAGCTGCAGCATAGCTCTCTTCTTTTATTGGAGGTAATGTATGCACCGCAGGTGTGTATTTCTTTTCAAAAGATTTCTCATCATTCGCTAACGGAATCCCTACAAACCCAGGCAACGGATATTTAGGATTGATAGTATCTATTGGTCCGAGCTTAGTATTCGGCCATTTTTGGGTAGAATTCGAGTTGGAAACAACGACTAAAAGTTGATGAGCGTGAAACCCACATACCAACGTTGACCAACTTCCCATTCTCCAAATGAGAATGCGAATTAAATGATGAGCGAAACTGTCTTAATAAACAGGCGAACCCTTTGAATTTACTATTAATCGGCCTTGACAGTAACATTGTGAGCGTCCACAGTAGAGTAACAATTAACCTACCGCGTCATCCGGGTAGTTCAAATGGTTCAAATGGTTGTGGACGGAATAGAAGAAGCTTTCGCTTAACGGGCTTCCGTGTCTAGTAGCAGTGGATCACCAATACCTCCAGGCGAAAACCTAGGTATATTAACAATGATAGAGGAAAAAAAGAATTTGGTAAATGATAATAATATGTTATACTTAGTCCTTAAGAATAAGTCAAGTTTCCTCTTAAAAGACTCCTGGCAAGTCGCTTGGACCAGCTCAGTCGTAAGCGAATTCCAGCATTTGACAACTCTTACAGAGTAGAAGTTGTATCTACAGTCTGTTCTGCTATGTTGAGTCTCCAGTTTTTGGGTGTCACCTCTTAGGTTGGTGTTGTGACTAAGCTTAAGAAGATGTTTAAGGTGATGACCAGAAGTGTTAAGGATACCGTAAGTCGTAAGAAGATCACCTCTAAGACGCCTGTACTCTAATGGGTAAAGGTTAAGTGATTTGAGGCGCTCTTCGTAAGGTTTGAATTTGAGTCCCCGATCTGATTTCGTGGCTCGACGTTGGATACGTTACAGAGTGTCCTTATCCTTTTGGAGGGAGGGAGGGAGGAAATACTATGTTTCCGTACTCTAAATGGGACGAGTAAAACTGTTGAAGATTATGTGGAAGGTTCTACTGTCAAACTGGCCCAAAATGCGCTTGAATGTTACCAGTGCAAGGTTTGCTTGAAAGGCGTTTTTGTCACAGTTCCCATACGACTTCAGGTCGTAGGGTACCAACACTCCTAAATCTTTTTCGACTTGGGAAACTTCTAGATGGGAGTTAGCTAAGTTGTAACTATAGTCTGCAACATGTCGCCGATGGACTACTTTGCACTTTGAAGTGTTGAAGGTAAGTCCATTGTCGTCTGCCCAACTTTGAAGTGTCGTCAGATCCTCCTGAAGTATTAGTATATCCTTATGGTTACGTACCTCTCCAAAGTTTCACATCATCAGCAAAAAGCAATAAGTCAGATGAAACTTGTTGAGGAACATCGTTAATGTAAATCAAGAAGATAAGAGGTCCTAGTATTGAGCCCTGGGGAGCCCCACTAGGTCATTCTATAGCCTGAAAGAAAGTGAAGTTAACCCTGACCTTAAAATGTCGGTTTTCTAGATATGAAGTGAGCCAGTCAATCAAAGGGGGTTTGATACCCAATCGTCTATTGTTAAGACATACGTGGTTGACCCTATCAAAAGCTTTTGAGAAATCCAGGTACATGACGTCAACCTTTCACTTGCGATCAATGATGGTTGTCCATCTATCCACCGCAGTCAGCAGGTTGGTCATACAAGAATGACCTTTTCTGAAACTATGCTGTTGAGGTAAGAAGAACTTTAAGGATTGTGGACAGAATAGAGAAATACGTTACTTAAAGGGGTTTCAGATGTCTCCAAGTGGGAAAAATGTATTTTCACAAGCAAAAGAAAAAGTTTAGTGGGTTAGAAAACCTAGGCGCGCAATTCCATAAAAGAAAACCGAGTTGAGTTTAACTGCAGCCAAATTTTCCACGTGTTGAGATATTAGATTTCTTTTGCGTTTATCGTAACAGAATTTAGATTTAAACTCATGTATAGTGCTTCAAGATCTATTTAGACTCGTGAAGTACTTCTCAAAGGTCTGTTTATTTCATTCTTTTAATAGTTGTAGCTATTTGGTTGGTGCGTATCTTTGAGCACATTAACACTGTTTTCCTGTTCTCTTTTTTTAGTCGACTTTCCCAATGTTTACTCAGCTTTCTATCTAACCACCATTAGTTGAAGTTACGGTTTTTGTGTATCTTCATAGTTACTCTAGTAGTGTCATAGCGTTCATTTTATGTCGTTGATGCGGTCGACTATTGTTTCTCTTCCTTGTCAAAAATTACACGCAGTGTAACTGGTAAAAGAGATGATTTCACAAAATATGTACCAGTCTATTGCTGGACGGGTACAAATATCAATAAAAATGAGCTTCACCGTGGCTATGGAGAGGTTGTTACCTTACTAAAGCACTTCTCCCAGATGAGGCTCTGAAGGTTTAGAGGAGTTTCCGAGTGACGGTTTTCACTAAGTAAGTCTGAAACGAGACGAAGGAAAAATAACAAGTGTAGTCTCTGGTGCAATTACTCAAACTCCTACGCCGGGTCAACAGGCTGATACCCCAACTATGAACATGCCCAAAGAAGAGATTAACCTTTTCCAGCCCATCTTCACACGTAAGCTTAATAAGTCCCACTTTATCGGGAAAAGGGAACTACCACCCACAGAAAGCGCATTTACTCTAAACATTTTTCAAGTGAGAGCAACTAAATGATATACAGAGAACAAAACTCTCTCAAGAAATATCTAATATTATTAACTATTAGTTGCAACCAAAAGTCAGAACCAGAAGGATAACCATAAAAAGCTTACAGTAGTTAATAAGAAGGAAACTACAACACAATCGTCAGTCGTGAACTCCACTTTCAGAAAGGTGAATTCCGTTCCTAGTTTGATTGCTTGTTATCTGGATGAGTCAATAGAAAATGACTCTGCTAAGACGCATGCGCATAATCTAGAGTTAGTGAAATCTGCAATCAGAAATGTACTGCCGAAAGAGGTTTTGTGAGTACACACTACCAACTTCACAAGTGGTTCGGAGACGGTGCTCGACCGCAAAGAATCTTGAGGCTAGCACACGAAGATTACAATAAAAGGGATGCTTTACCAAATGACAAGCAAAACGCTCAATTAGAACATTCATATTCGACTAGGTTGGCCACTTAAGGATCAAATAGAGTAATAAAAACTCCAAAGCAAAATGGCAAGACAAACCCAAAGATTCAGGACTTTTTTGGTGGCCAGATCTCGAAGACAGCTCGGTGGCCTGCTTGAATACCTGGGCTACCTGTTTTCTGCCATCTAAATATTTCAACAAGTTAATAGCATAACCTATACAGGCGCGTTTATGAAAACCATACGTCCTTTCACTGCAAAAATCACAAACAAGTACAATAAGAGACATCGTGGTGGTTGGCAATATGCATTAAAGAGAATGATCATTAATCAAATGTCGATTCCAGAGCTGCTTAATTCTAACTGTCGATCTGTAATTAACAAGATGTACTATCTCCAATTTCTGCTAAATCAAAACATGTATCGTAATTTTGGTGTCATCGGAATTCAAGAATTTTGGTTAACTTCAAGTATGTGGAAACTCTTTAAAGAAATTACAGGGGACAGGCAGACTAGAAGCGATAACCAGCTAAATGTTTGTGACTTAAATAAGTCCTTCATACGTCAGTCATCTGACATCATGCTCTCTATATCCAAGGGTCTGAAGAATAATAGTGCTCCCAGTTTCACTGAAAATGATGTCCGAAAATGTCTCCAGTCACTTAATTCATCCCAATGTTTAGGACTTGATGGTATCCCAAACTTCCTTTTTAAAAAATGTGCTGATGTTTTATGTTATCCATTAACGAATATCTTTAACAGATCCTTCTCAACTAATGTCTTACCGATAATGTGGAGACAGATAAAGATAATCCCTATACCAAAGAAAGCTTCTGGTGATAAAAATGTGAAACTTAGACCCATTGCAATAACTTCACCTTTCCTCAAAATAATGGAAAAATTACTGATTCAACCACTTCAACCTGCAATAAAAGAGCGCTGTGATCCATATCAGTTTGCTTACAAATGCAAAAGAAGCACATTAGATTCCGTTGCTGTTCTGCATCACAATATAGTGTTTTGGTTGGAAAAGGGTAAGAAGTATGTTAGATGCGCTTTCCTGGAATTCACTTCTGCCTTTGATTCTATTCCAAGACACCTCTTACTTAGCAAGCTGATCCGCGTCGACACTGACAGCTGGATAATCAATTGGATAAGATCCTACCTTTCTGGAAGAGAACAGTACACTGTATTTGAAGGAAAGTGTTCAGCATCTTTATTGTCTACTGTAGGTGTGCCACAAGGACCTGTTCTTTCACCTCTACTCTTCTCTTTTTTTCTGCATGATCTGCCGTCTTCCACAGAAAACGCTTTTGTAAAATATACGGACGACCTCACTGTATGTATGCCAATTTCTACCTCCCTACATCCCATAGAAATGAATGAGTTTTTATCTCGTATTGAACGGTGGTCTGTTGGTAATGGTCTCTTACTCAATCCATCTAAATGTCAAGCTGTTAATTTTAGCTTGAGACATGGACAGAACCTATACTCTATGTTGGGATCCCATAATGCTTGTGCCATTTGAGACTAATTAGTAAACACAGTGTCGAAGGTCAAATATCTTGGTGTTACTTTTTCCTCTGATCTTTCTTGATCTTCTCATGTTTTACTGTTATCGAAAAAAGTTTACCGTTTGACATACTACATAAAGAGGCTGCATGCTTTTGAAATTACTCTCCATTTACTCTTACAATTTGTAAATTCCTGCATATTACCTATTATTTTATATTGTTCTCCATTATTCTTTCCCGGGCTTTTGAGAAAAGACTTTGCTGTTTTGCGTAGAGTGCTGAAGGCGGTTTGCAAGGTATGTGGTGAATCTTTCCAAGTCATTATTAATATGCTTGTGGATAGACATCTTAAGTCTTGCAAACTCTTGGCAGGTGTTATCTTATCAGATACTAACCATCCGCTTCATTCATATCTTTCTCCTTGTATATCTTCTGGTAGAACGAGACGTAAATACATTAAAATCCATACACGCAAGCAAATCTATAAAAATTCTGTAATACTTTACCTAGCAAATTTACTTTGTGACGAACAGGCTGTTAGAGTTGACCTAGTAAATAACCTGTCTTCTTAAGCATGTTTAAAATTCGATAATTTGTATAAACTCAGATTTTCTTAAACCTTTTTTTATTCCTTCTCTGTTTTTTGGGGGGTTTTGTTTTTTTTGGTAAAAAACTTGTTGAAATAACTCGTGCTGAAAATTCTATATTGCACCAGATTATAATATTGAATAAAGCCATTAATAATAATAAGACCCATGTTTCCGAGGCCTGTATGGCTAGAACAAACGATTCTCAAAACACCTTGAATGTGTACTAAACAAACGCCCATAGTTTTAGGAATAAAACGATAAAGTTAAGCTTGATTATCAACGTCAAGGTCATCGTCATCGTTATCAACTACGTTGTCATAAATATAAAGGGATTGACAATCGGTGTTCATGCTATTCACCATAACAACAACAGTACTAACAATAGCAATAATAATCCTAGTGAAAGTATTGGTATTAAGAGCAATAATTAATACCATAGGAATAACAATGATATTCATAGAAATAATGATATGGGATTACAATCTAGGTCAAAAGCCACGCTATCTTTATCACTGATGAATGAAGTACTGGTCATGCCTCGATATTCTTGATTTTTGTGATCAGCTGGTACGAACCATTACATTATGTTGCCATTATTTCCTAATATTCAAAGACACCTCTGGGAATCATTGCTCCAGGGAGAATTGAAACTAAAAGTGAGACCTAGTCCTTAGTTATGAGGACAGTAGGTCGGTCGGACTGTGTTTCTTGATGAAGCCCGCATCCTCCCCGAACCTTCTCACACTTGTGATTGATATTTCCGTTGAGTAGGATTTTCGAGCCTCTGGCCTCTTGGTGAGAAAAAAGAATCCTAATCTGCTATATACTAGAGAAGAAGTAAGTACGGATAACTTACGGGACCTATTATTGGACTATTTTTCCATGTATATTCCTATTGTATAACTATTCAGTAATTAGATTATCTATATCTAGATTCAGATTATTACAAGCTTCATTTTGACCTATTGATTATTATTATTATATGATTTACTGTTCCTAAGTTGTACTCAGTTTATTGATTATTGTCTCCCACGCTCACAGCCACATTTGGCTTGATTTTGTACAAATATTATTTTTTATTTTATGGTGTGTTGTGGTTTGCCTGTCTGGTATATAAACAAAGTATGCTTGAAATAAACGATTCGCATAACAAAAGCTGCTCTTGGTGTTCTGGACTCAAGTGGAAGGGCTAGGCGGATTAAGGATCAATAAGGACGCGAGATTGCTTATACTGATCTGACGTCCTTGATTGTCACCATGTTAAGGTCGGAGAAGTTGTATTTCTATTGGTGGATAATTCACGCGAGTTACGTCCTTGTTTAATTTGTAAGGTCATTATAAATTAGCGACGACTCTGATCAATTCATAACATAATCTGAATTTTTGTGTTTGTCATTTTTGAATTTGTATGTGTTGGCTTCGAAGATTACTGCCCCCAAAGTGTCTAAAAAGATAAGGTACATCAACTCCTGAATCGTTATTCAAGACATAAAATGCCAATATCAGGCCATACCATATTAGACGAAAAGAAAATCGGAAAAGATTTAGATGTTCTGATAGCTCTCAGTAGAAATCAGAATACCATGTCTATACATTAATATCCTAATGTTGAGTAAGCTGCTTCTATATTGGAGCTAAGCATATCATGGTTATCCAGTCATCGTTGAACCAAGCACGGTTAAGAACATTCGTAACCAGAATATATTAATTACCTAAACGATCCAAAGTGGAAATGAATATAATACCAGCAGTATCAGTATTAAATGAATGTTAACAACCGTCGTTTAGGAAAGGTGTGGCTTCAAAATCAGCAAAACAACATTAAACTCCAGCCACTTGGTCAATCGAATTAAACGTTCCTTTAACTTGCAAAACCGATAGCCGAACATTGAGTGGTTAATAGAAATCCATGAAAAGCAACAAAGAGTTAAGGGGGGCAAATTAATCAACACAATGACTTGTAGCAATAGATAAATCCCTAAAGTCGATAGCTCTGTAAGTCTTCAACATTCAATGATGATCATATTAGATTAAATGGACTCATCCAGGTGAAGGTGCCCGGTCACTCATCCGCCCCAGATCACGAGTGGCAACGCCGTGCTCGACTTCTCCTACGACCACTAGCCAGCTTGGACCCGTCAGTTATCGATATATTGATAGCCTATCAAATATATCTTCGAATCTCTTAACTTCTGACTTCCCATTTCATTGAATGGGATTATAGAAGATGATACTGGCTAGGGTGTTATCAAACTCCCAGTAATTGTGGCATCTTCAGACTTTTTCCATAAGTCAGCAGCCGTATCACGTACTTCCTTCATCTTTATCTGGATTAGATAATATTTCTGATGATACTTTGTTAAAGGTACTTAGGAACTGGGTGACCGGAGCACCAAAATAGATAGGAATGGTTGGGAAGGTTACCGAAAGGTGTGACTTTGAAATAAATATTGAGTGATTTGGGCAATCACACCATTCTAGCTTACAGGATAAAGGCTGTTAAATGAATAATAGAAAAAATAATATATTTCTGCAAGGGCAGGTACACGCCACTTTTATGGGCATGATCTACAAGTTAAAGCATATATTGGTTCACGGTATGCATTCCAAGCAGGCTTGTTTAGTAAATATGATCTATAAAAGTTGATAGCAGTTCATTCGTTCACATATACTGTGTTTTCTTCAAAATATTTTCCAAAGGGGCATCGCGTCCACGTTACATACCAGATCCAATGTGAACAAAAATTGTATTAGGATTTTGGTCGTGCTAAGTATTTATCTAATGCAGCTTGTGGAGCGCCTGGTTCGAACTATGACCTTGGGAAAGTGAGTTCGTCCAGCTTGTTCCATATGTCAGAAGTTACATAGCCTCACCCTCAGTGCAAGATTCTGAAGAGAAAAAAAGAAACCAAGGAGCAGCAAGTCATTTGGATATGAACGATAACCAGTGCTTAACATTTAGTAGTGGAACAAACAAAGTTATGATAAATTATTATAATAAATTGGTACTAACTCATGTTTCTAGAGTGAAATATGATGACATAATTCAGTAATAAAGAACAATAAATTGAGATATTTATCAAGTTGTAGTAGGTTCGAACGAAGGAAGGGAAGTCAAGATTGGAATGAGGAAGACTGTTTATTAGAACAGAGAGTCCATCTAGGGAGTAGAGTGTTAGGTAAAATAATGACCATATCCTTTACAATATGTATTTTTTTCATAACATCAGTTGGAGTTGATATGACGGGATGAAAAAGCAAAATCAAATTGATGTATCCATGGCGATTTTTTTAAAAATCGCTGACGTTTTAATTCAATGTGACGATTACTCAGGGTAGTATTTGTTTTGTTACAGGGTATCCGACTTATAAACCCGTAGAAATGTTAGGACTTATTTCGATTCCATTTTCGCCCCGTCTTCAAGTGTTCATTAACCAGGAGTAAAGTAGTATGCGACTAAAACCCATGAATTGTTATATCTGCACATGAAGAGGACAATAAGGATGAGGTGTCTAATTAACTACCAAATTCTTTGCATTCCACAGTAGGTAAAGTTATAGATAGAAATTTTATTGAGTTTGTTCTCAACCAAATTCTCAACAAATACGTTTCTCCTGAGTCACAATGTGGCCTCCTACCTGATAGATCCTGTAGCACAAATTTGTTAGTTAATTGGAATAGCTGAAACACCTCACCGGAATAAAAATATCTGGTTCATAATGCCTTCCTTAACTCCATCAAAGTACCCAAAGTGTTCAACCAACGCGTTCTTTCTCAGAAAACGAATTCTATATGTATAGGCAGACATGTGGTGGCATAACTCTATGATTATTTAAACAGTAAATTACAAGCTTTCAGATTCTGTACATCTCTGATAGTTTGGATTTTCATGACAAATGGAGTGCCGGGAAACCAGATCCTTGAACCAATCCTCTAATTATTGTACATCTCTGACTTATTTAACTCCCTATACTCTCAAGCTCCCTCTGAGACAAATGGTTTTATGGTATAAAGGGAGTTCGCTTGCACACCTGATATTTTGACTGTCCAAGAAACTTGAAAAGAGTACAAGGATGAACTAGAAAAACCCTATATTCCCTTTAGGAGTCAGCAGCCAACAAAGCATACTCGCTCTCTTAGGGTTTCTATCTAGAACATTCAGTGGTCGGATCTCAAGGTTGTCCAAAGCATATTTATTATTTACTCAAGACCAAGTCTGAGAAAAATCCTTCATCATTTAACTGCAACTCAAAAAACATATTTCTGTCTTGAAAAGTGTTTAAAGAAAACGACTGAAATGGTACTCTGATCAAAAAATAAATTCTACTTGTCTATCCTGGAGGCTCTTAACTTACAACCAATGCAATAACAATACGAGATGTGCTATCCAGATGTAACATGTTTCTAATAATTCTTCCCACTTGACTAGACCGTTTAGGTATTTCAGCAATAAGCCGCACTTAAGAAGATATGAAAGAGCTCACCCAGAACACGAAACAACTCGCCCAAAAGTTCAAGAGCACCCTTTTGATGTTCAGGTCAATAGTTCACACGACTCCTTAACAAAAGCGGTGATTGTGTTACTCACAGCTAAATCCCTAAAGAGAAGGATTGACGGCTACTATAGCTTTGTTGGTACTAAGAGCCCACTCTAACTACCCCAATACAGAATACAAGGAGCAAACAGTTCACAAATTATGCCAAGAGAAATTGAAGCGTTGAAACGATTATGGCGAAAAGACGAAAAATGTCAGCCAACAGAAGAGAAACAGAATAAAAACACGAGTTGTCTGATTTTTCAAATACGAATAAATTGTTTATTAAAAATGTTCAAATAATTGATGTTTAGTTGCTGTGTCATAAATAAATCCATACGTTACTGCCGCCTAATTCTTCAGATAGCGCGTGTTTGAAGATGTACATTCATCACTGATCTGTTCTCTTCACTTTCTCCTCTTGTAGTGGATGGCAGAGATTGACTTTTTGTCTGCTGAACTTGAAAATGATGATGAGTGTAGAGACGATGAAACAGACAGACTCAACCTATCGTCCCCGGGGAAAAATAGTACCAAGTCTCCAGATCAATTGGTTGGTCATATTTCCTATTCTTACTTTTTGTGACAGTCAAAGGAGTTAATTTGTTCGGAGAAAAAAGAGTGAGTCTCCCAAAAGCTTATCATTTGGGTTTCAGAGAGATAACGACTCAAGAAACTGTCGAGATATGTCAGAAGACAGTCAATCCGAACAATCGTGTTAATGCTGAAAACTTTAAAATTCAACGTGTTATTGGCAAAGGAGGCTACGGAAAGGTTCGTGGAGCTTCTCTGCCTTAGTGTGCAGGTTTTTCTAGTTCAGAAGGTTGATGGCGTTGATCAAGGAAAACTGTACGCCATGAAGGTTTTAAAGAAGGCCAGGCTAGTGTGCAATGAAAAAGATAAGGCACACACTGTTTCTGAAAGGAATATCCTTGAAATGTTACAGGTACCGGTTTCATTTGTTTACTAGTCTTAGCACCCTTTTCTGGTGAAACTTCATTATGCTTTTCAAAATCACTCCAACTTGTATATTGTGTTAGAATATTGCCACGGAGGGGAGCTGTTTAACTACTTGGAACGTGAAGGAGCTTTGTTAGAAAATGCTGCGTGGTAAGAGATACTTTCAACTATATGCTGGAAATAGTTTTTACGCTTCTGAAATTGTTCTAGCCATTGGACATCTGCATTCGTTGGGTATAATCTATAGGGATTTAAAGTCCGAAAACGTGTTGTTGGACCGCCAGGGTCACGTGAAGCTTACTGACTTCGGGCTCTCAAAAGAGGGTGTATGCACTACCAATACATTCTGTGGAACGATTGAGTATATGTAAGTTCAAATCTTTCCTCATCCTTCAGGGCCCCTGAAATAATCCGATGTGAGGGTCATGGAAAAGCAGTAGACTGGTGGAGTCTTGGAACTTTAATCTACGATATGCTATCTGGAACGGTAATTTCTTTTACTTCGTGTATCTAATGATGTAGCCACCATTTAGCCAAGAGGAAAGTCGTGAAGCTACTACACGCAAAGTAAGCATTAATTTAGATTGATTATTTTTTGTAGATACTCACAGCCCCTTTAAAATTTCCACCATCATTCTCATCCGAAGTTATCAGTCTCATACGTGGCTTGTTAAAACGTGACCCAAATGAAAGACTAGGAAGCAAAGAAGATATGGAGGAAATCAAACGACAAAAATTTTTCAAACGACATGTGAGTCTTCTAAAACGTGTGATAAATAATTTGTTTCCAAAATCTGTCAATTTATAACTACCTAATTTTTCTAACTCTGTCCACAACTGAAATTGGAATTTACGCTGTACGTCAGTTTGTGAAAGAACGTTCATCCACTTCAGTTACCTAACTAAATCTGCCACAAGGTCTCCTTGTGTCGGCTCAATCTTACATTTCTTCACAGTCCTTTTTATTAATAGATGACTTGATATGTAAAATTTTGTTTTTCATCCTCTATTATTAATTATTTAACATACTCTTGGAAACAAAAGTGACGACTTGACACAATTGTTAGAATATAAAAATGCCTGTCAATTTAGCAATTTTTAAAATAGTCAAGTATATGTATTTCATTTGTTCGGTGGGTTATAGTCTGTACTGATGCCTTCCATAGTCCGTCTACATTAAAAAAGCCAAGTTATCTAGCATATTACCAGCTTGATTGTTTCGTCGTTTTTAACTAAATGTAAAACACTTCCCAATTCCTCAGTGATGATATAATATAACAAATAACTAATGCATGTTTACATTGTAGTCTTGTAGCCATAGTAAGCATATGTAAATGTAAGTAGCACTGCCGTATTGCCCAGGTTGTATTGGGTGAAACTAAATTCTAGAATGAAACCCGATGGTTGGGTTTCATAGACTGATTGTACGTTTTAATAAAAAAATCTGACTTCTGTACGAAATTATCCTGTATAACTTTGTATCATTAGACGACGAACACCGTTTCTTCAATGTTTTCCAGTGATTTAGAAGTAATAGTCGAAGAGAATTTATCGAAAAGAATATTCTTCGTTCTAATATTAGTCTTTTAATATGATTGGGATTTTTAAACGATTGAAATACTAAGTGTTGTAGAGAGATGTATTTTGAACAGATCAAATTAGGAAACGAGACCGAAAACTACTGTCTGAAAGTCAACTGTGTAGAAATATTTTAACCACTCATGGAACAAATAATCATACAAAAGATATACAACAGTTTGATCAGATGTTCTAGAGTACACGGCTGCTACCACGTTTGCACGCAGCTTTTGGTTTAAGCATGCACTGCTTTTATATTCGGTATCATTCCATAGCATACCCTTAAAGTTGAAATTCTAAACTTCAAATTATCTACTTACACTCAACTAAATCAATTGTTGGCCTAGTTTTCGCATGTTAAATAAGACTGACAACTTAATGCACAAAATTGCTTATGGTCATAAGGTTTTATTGCTGATTGTGTAATCTAACTTTCCAAGTCTTATTTACAGTTTAAAACAAGTCTTAAACTGGTATATTGAAAGGTTATTTATTTTTCAGGAAATAAATTGGTCTGATGTCTATAACCGACGTTTAAAACCACCTTTCCGCCCTAAACTAACTGCTGAGAATGATGTATCGATGTTTGACCCATCGTTTACCCGTTTACAGCCAGTTGTTAGTCCGGTCGATGGTGGTGCATCCATTCCTCCGGATATGTTCCAGGTCAGTTTTCACTAATTATACGAATTATTAAGAGTTAGTGGTTAAACTTACAATAAGTTGTAACGAATACACTTGTGAATAAGATTTCCAAAACACCAGGTCTTTAAGCGACCACTGATTTGTTCTGATATAAAACACTAACATTGAATGTGATCTTTTGCTAAGACAGGACATTACTAAAAGTTAGCCATCAAAAAATCCTTTCTGACATGTTCGAGACCCATATCTTATCGTTTGATTATATAAACTTAAACTACCCTGTTCAGAGATTTCTTTTGATTCATGAGTGTGTAAAATCTTTACCTATTTTTTGGTCTCAACTAAGGCTAATTTGTCGTTTTCTATCCTGTGGTACCAACGATGTGGATCAGTTGTAGTCATTAAGAATTCAATGTATAGTGTAAAAGCATTCTAGTGTGACTGACAATCGATGATTATGCATAAAAGACAGGAATTCTATTGTTTGATATAAACCATCAAGGTAATCAATTAATCAGTATCATGCATGGTCATAAACTTATCTCAGTATACACAGCATTATTGATCCATGAAGTCACTGACAATTGGACTGAGCCATGCTGGTCGGTGTAGACTACCTGGTTGGGATCCGCGACATGATAGCAATCGATGGTTAGAGACGTTGAATGACATGCTTCAAAATCGCTTGCAATGGCGAAGGTGCATCCACTCTTTGTGTTCTGCCAAATTCTAATCTTCTGAATTCTCCATATCCAAATTTTATTTCACTGGGTTATACTACTTCAATAACATCTTCAAACCCTAATCTTTCACATTACTGCTTATACTCTTACTATTTCTACCACTATGGGATTTGAATCGACAACTGCATCTCTATGCTAATGTGGTATGGCAACTCGAACTGATGTACGTGCGTACGAAGTTCTACGTTGTGACTGACTGACTAATCACCTATACTCAAAAGTGTGATTGAAATATTCATTTCTTCAAATAACAGATGAACATTATAAAACAAGTGACTTTAAATAACTCCATCCATTGAAAAATCAAACTACTCTATGTGTATCACATAATGATTTATAAATTTTGATTCATATTTTTACTTGATTCTTTAGTGATGGTAATCTGACATAAATAAACATGCATATTACACACACAAAACATCCACATATCCATCTACTCATCTCTATTTGTCCTACCAGGGCTTTTCATATGTGGCACCAAGTGTCTGTGAGGATAGTTTACGAGATAATTGGACAGATAACTTACCAAGTCGTCATCGAAGACATGGGTAAGTAGATTTTTTCTTTACTCTTAATTGTTTCTTTTCATACTCTTGTAAATTCAACTTAATAGTTCACTTGTTGGTTTACTGGTTGTCTTTTTATTGTACCGGGTAATAATATTTATAAAAATCATAATTGATAGGAACTCATTGAAGACAATTGGTGAACGGTTGCTCAACTTCATGGATCAGTTGAAGTTATACATTAACACCGTTGGATGCCGGCTCAGTGGTCTATCGGTTAAGGGCTCTGGCGCGAGACTGGTAGGTCCTGGGTTCGAATCTCGCGAGTGTGAGATAGTGGATGCACACTGCTAAGGAGTCCCATAGTAGGACGAAACGGCCTTGCAGTGCTTCCAGGTGGTCTAGCTTCAATTGACTCACCCTTTCAACTATGAAAATAGTAAATCTCCACAAAACCCCTTTTGATAATTAATAATCATAATCATAACTATAATGCATCTCATTTACAAAACAAAGGTTGATTTATTCAGACTTCAGCAGCATTGTTTTTTATGAGGATTAGTGATTTACATGGAGTTTTTTTTGGTTTGGATGGTTCATTAAATACACAAATATTGGTGCGAAGGGGCACCGAATACATATACGCCATACAAGTCACTTAATTTGTGCGTGGGCTGTGATACTGCATTGGTGCCCCAAACCGAATCAGGTGGTTTTCATACGAGACCACACCCAAAGCTTTTAACCTAAAGGTCTAATACACAAGGCAGTGGAACAACGTCAGGAGATGCGGTCCCATGGTAGCCGGTGACCGACAATTGGTTCATACTCCTTTTGTTCCATCAGGATCCTGGAGCCCATGTGCACCATTGGTTTGGAATGAGGGTCTTCTGACTCCCCTAGGTGGATGCTCCATATCCACTAACCCGGTTAAAGCAACGGACATTCGCTTTTCTTACCCCCAATTCTGTAAACAACATCAATGCCGCGAGAGGTCATTGAGTTGGACTTTCCTGACAGTGGTTTTATACGCGTGGGTATGTGAGAATATTTGAAGAGGGAGAGCCGACTCTCCCCACCTTCGGCTATACCAGGGATTTGAGGGGATGTTTTGTAGATGATCGGTTTTTCGCGTTTTGTCATTTGATCCTTTGTTTTGCGTATGAATAATTGAAGTGGTTTTGCTTGTTTGTGTGATACACCTATTCCAAACTGCTCCAATAATCCCTTTAATTTTTGATGACTTTTATATATGAAATTGTAATCCTTTTGTTGGTCCCCATACTTAATTTCCTTTCTACTGATGATTTGGGTTGATATTTTTTGTTGAAGTTGCATGGATAGCCGTTCTTTCGAAGGATAGTCATTAGATGTCTTTCCGCGCCCCAAGTGTGCTGCAGTGTGTTCTCGCCCCCCTTGGGCAAAGTATGTACACAGTTGATTTTGTGATTTCTTGGCTTGTTGCTATTGTAATTGAGAATTTGATCCGTGTGCGTAGGATTCCGATACACTTAAGTCTCCAGTTTTCGTGTGTCGGTTCCGGTGGTTAGTATATCCAAAACTGTTAGTTTGTTGTTCAACCTCTCCATTGTAAATTTTATGTCATCAAAGACATTGATCATATTGTAGACGATTTCCAGCTCGTCCGTTTTAATGATGACGATTATACCGCCTACACAACGAATCCAAATTTTTGACTTGATCACTGGTGAGATCGAGGCTTTTAGTCTTTGCATCACTGCTTCTGCAATAAGTCCTGATATTTTGTATCCCACTGGTATTCCTTTCGTTTGTTCGTGGATTTTATTTTTGAAATAAAAGTATGTATGACATTAAATAGGAATAGTATATTTGTAAAAGTATGTATTTTAAGCGTAAATTGATGAGTTATATTAAACTTCGACTTTAAAACTTTGTGTACTTTGGGAGATTTGTGTCGTTCGTGAGGAGCAGGGTGTGTAGACAATTGTTCATAAATACTTGTACCTTTTTGATGATGGTTTTAGTAGTTCTCTGCGTTTCATCTCTCCACAATATAACTAACTGTGTTGACATTTGTAGTGTGTTGATGTTCTCTGTGTTGTATTTGAGGATATTGCTTTTCGCTTGTGTATGTTGAAGCCTACTGCTACAGAAACTGCTGCTACACTGGTTGTCTTGACCTGAATTTGTTGATATGTATGGGCTAGAAGAGCTAGGTGATCTGCAAAGTCCAAATCGTCTAGTTGCTTCCAAACTGTCCACTTCATTACGTGCTTCCCATCAGATGACAGGTCCAGCTGCCTTCCCATTCTTGATTTGTCTGATGATCATCTTGATTTCTTCGATCGTTGGTGGAGTGACATCTATAAGAAGGTCTGTAGATGTTGCTTCGATATCTGGTGGATTCAATGAAGCTGGTCTTTTCAAAAGTTCCTCGGAGTGTTCCATCCATCTGTTCCTCTCTTCTATCTGAGTGATTGGCTTGCCTTCTTTGTCCTTGACCAGTCTCTCCGGTTTACTAGATTTTCCTGCCAGTTTCTTCGTCGTGTCATATAGTTGTTTCATATTTCCTCCTCTTGGAGATTCTTCCTCTGTCGGTGCTAGGTCTTCCACATAATTCTGCTTGTCGAGTCTAATGCTCTTCTTCACTTGCTTGTTTGCCTCACCGTATTCAGCCTGTGCCTTAATTGTTTCTGTTCTTGTTCGACTATTGCTAATTAGTCTCTTTGTTTTTTCTTTCTTGAATCTTGTCTAGAGTTTCGATAGAGACCCATTCCTTATGATGATGGTTCTTGCGACCCAGAACCCCCTGGCGCGTTGAAGTTAGTGCTTCTTTGATCTCTTTCCAGTTTTCCTCCATCGTTGTTTCTTGTTCTTTCAGTAGATACTTTAAAGCTTGGAACCTGTTGTTGAGAGTCATCTTGAATTCGTTGAGTTTGTCAGTATGTCGAAGGAAAGCTGTATTGAACCTTTGTAATGCTGTTTGTGCAGTTGTCCAATGCTTATTTAGCTTCAGTTTCATCTTGACCACAACCAGCTGATGATCTGAACCTATGTCAGCTCTTCTCCTGGTTCTCACATCTTCCATTTACCTTGTGAATTTTTTACTTATGCAAATATGATCGATCTGTTTCTCTCTGTTGTGGTCCGGTAAGACCCATGTAACTTTGTGTATGTGTTTGAGTGGAAATATTGTGTCGCCTATAACCAATTTATTGGGTGCACTAGGTTTGCATATTTCTCACTATTCTCATTTCTTTCTCTCACACAGTCCATATCGTCCCATTTTATCTTCATATCTTGTGTTGTCCACTCCGACTTTAGCGTTTAGATCTCCCATCAGAATGGTGATATGCTTCCTTGAGTACTTCGCTATGATTGATTGCAGCCTCTCATAGAACTGATGTTTATCGTCGTCATTGCTATGGTTTGTGGATGCATAACATTAGATAACATTCATTGTGATCCCCTCCTTTGTTTTGAATGATGCTTTGATTATCCCGGATCCATGAGATTCCCATCCTATAAGTGCATTTCGGGCTTCTCTGGACAGCATCAGAGCAACTCCCTGAGTGTTTGTAGCATTTTCCTCTTTGTGATCAGAGTACAGCAGCATCTCTCCCGTATCTAGCCTTTGTTGTCCAACTTGTGTCCAATCGGTACTGTCAATTTGTATCTCCGCCTATTCGATCGGTCTTCCACATTGTCCGGACATTCTATATACCTATAAAAATTATCGCACTGGTTGTTAAAAGGATCATCGGCCTCGTGATTCCAAAGAATCTCGATTTTCATCATGAGACGTCATAATTGTTCCTTCAACTCCCAAGGAGGAGTTTAAATGGTTTAAATTGTTGATTCTGGTAAGCATTTTTTTAGCAAGGTTGTTCTCTGCGTGATCGGGTTGCTGACCCAACCCCACAAACCTCCTCCTTTGTGTCGGTTTCGGACCGACAGTAACCATAGAAGAGCTACAGGCGAAGTTGGATAAGGCTGTTACATCGATGGATATCATCAGTTCGTCGTTCACTTGAATCTCTTTAGTCTTATCCAGGACTTGTGTGGGAGATTTAATAGAATAATCGGATAAATCCAATAAATGTTTCAATCTTCTTGAAATTTGTCGTTAAATATTGATTCTACCATTCTCTCAAAACTGAGGTAGGTGAAAAACAGTTCGAATGTACGATTTTTTTAAGCTGAAAAGTTGAAAAGTCTTACTACTAAGGTACCATTTCCACACTGCAGTCACTTTATGAATCTAGGCTCGTCGACCACATTATTTTTATCAGTTTAGGTTAGTAGAGATCGTTCATTTTTATTGATACCATGAACCGATCTAAGTTGTACAACCATTGAATTATAAAAAGATTTCACGTTGCAATGTACAGTTTGATTTAATCCTTTTTATAACTTTGTTTTACTGTTATTCTTGTATAGTTTACGTGGTGCCATGTCTGCTGGACGTTTAAGACGTATTGGTTTCGGTCATTTGAATGCACCAAATCGAATTCCTGAGGATATTGTTGTTCATAATATTCCATTACAAATTCAACCGGAACTAAATGATTTCCATGATTTTAGTGCAGACTATCGGCAAAAACCTGTAATTCATCAATTGTCTAATCATGTATTAACTCAAGGAAGTACAAATGATAAACGTACTACTGTTCACTTACCTGATCATCATCAACAACAACAATGCGATTCAAATGATACTCAACAGCTGCACAAAATGTTGTCAGGAAAATCAACTCAGATAATCAAGTCGAATGGTACTACAAATGGTAATAATGTTATTAAAAAAGAAAAGGAACTAGATGAGCAGGAAGACGATAATGACGATGATGAAATAGCTGCCGAAGAAGAAGACAATGTTCCAGGAGCAAAACAAATACAACCAATTAGTACTCCAAAATATCTACCACTTTGTAAATATGAATCTAAAAGCAATGATATAATGACTAATATCGATACTAACAGTATTCATCCAATCACAAAACCATCTAATAGGAATCCTACAAAATATGCACCTTTCAGTGGTTCACTTCAATGTCATCCAGAATTACATACAAATACAAAAATGATCCATTCACGTTTAATGTATAATTGTCAGACTGGATCATTTCCACATAATACTACTACTACTACTAATAAATTAGGACATGCTACGACATCACATCTCCCTGGAATACAAACTGGACCACGTATCACTACACCGTTACAACGTCGTAGTCCAAATTGTGCAACAACCCTACATTCAGATGTTCCTATTACTCATACTACTGTAACAACAGGTACAAGTACTTCAACAAATGCTAAATGTACTATTATGTAATATTGTACAGTTTCGCTCTTTCTATCCTACAATACTGTGATTCTTATGTAAAGTATCAAAATAGATTTATATTCTTCTTTAAAGTTCATCCAACATCCAACTCATCCACCATTCATTGACAATAGATATTCAATGAAAAATTCATTTCATCTTCAAGTTCCTTGTCCATATGTTTATCTTCTCCATTTCTTGGTTTCCTTTTGTTTTGTCTAATATGGAAAAATGATAAATGATCGAAATATACCATACTGTTTACTTCTTGGAAAACGTCATGAATACATAAAGTAAAACAACATACATGTTATAAGTCCATATATAAATGATTTTGACACATCTCCCTTTCTTCCTTCCTTCCCCCCTCTTTCCTCGTTCTCTCTCTCGCCCTCTCTCCACGCACACACACAGCTTGTTTATACATGTATATAAAACCATCAGTGTTAATTATGATCTTTCATTCTAAACATTCCTAACATTTTATACGAATACTTTCTATATTAATACTATTCTATCTTTGTTGTTCATTTCTTAGTTCTTTATTGCTTGACTACTTTATATCCATCCAATTGGTTGACTATCATCACCCACCGATCCCCTTTTTTTCGGTTCACATTGTTCTGACATAGCGTCTTCACACTAATCATAGCAGCCATATATTTTATACCAGAAATATGTCTTGTATTAAATGTTTATCAAATTCCAGGACATTTGGTCCTCAGAACGCTATCAATCTTGTTTTTTTATCGATTGTGTGACCTTTCTTGAGTGAAGGTTGAGCTGGGTAAACGACGTTAGAAGTGAGCAGTTTATTCAAATATACATTACGTAATTGTTTTTTTGTCTTCAGTCATTGACTTAATGAGTTACATTTGTCTTTGCCTTCCTTTAATATTCTGTTCATATGAAAATTTATGATATAATAATATTAAGACAAGCGGTATTGTCAATATGTATATATAGTCTGTCTTTACAATTTATTAATCACTGGGTAATGATCTGTCAGGGAGCATCAGGTATACCGCCACCAAATGTCCAGGTACGACCGAGAGTGTGAAAAGTCCGCTCTTCCTCTCCAAATGCTCTCACATGGCCACGCGTATATAGACTCTGCCAGGAAAGTCATACTTATTGTCTTCTCGTTGCGGGGTGTTGTTTACGAAATTGAGAGGACGAAAAGCGAATGTCCGGCGCTTTAACCGGGTTGGTGGACATGGAAAGTTCACCTAGGGGAGTTGGAAAACCCTCATTCCAAACCAATGGTGCGCATGGGATGGCTCCAGTATCCTGAAGGAACAAATGGAGTATGAATCAATCGTTGGTCATCGACTACCATGGGACTGCATCTCCTCACGATGCTCCACTTCCTTGTGGGTTAGACCTTTATGTCGAAGGCTCTAAGTGTGGCCCCCTAAGAAAACCACCTGCTTCAGTTTGAACACCTGTGCAGTATCACATCCCTCACACAAATCAAATGAGATTTGTGTAGCGCATACATATCTGGTGCCCCTTTGTACCAATATTTGTGTTTAAATAATACATAGTCATAATCAGGTATACCTTGCTTATGAGTCCCAATAGCACGAAAACTAGGTTCAAGGTTTCTTGCTGACTATTTCCAACCACCATCTTATAGTCTCTCTTTACTAGATTATTCATCAAATAGTGTATATCTTGTAAGATTTTCACAATATATCACATAAGTGAATGTAAGAAGTTCTTGTTTCAATGTACAATAAGACTGATAATGTGTAAGTAAATGGTAGCTTTTGTTATGTGAATGATTTAAACACTGAACAAAAGATGGAAGATTATGAGAAGAAAACTTTACTTCAAAGATTGTTATGTATGTACAGGAAACAAGGATATTTATAGTAGGTGATCTTAAGGAATAAGATGCTTAAATCGTTAGCATATTTAGTAAACGGAAAGGTATGCTAATCAGTCAGTCAGCAACCACGTAGGACCAGGCGCATATATGCTTCACTCCAAATTGCCATACCTCGTTAGCACAACAAGATGAACACCGGATTCATAGAAATAGTTAATTTAGTGATGGTAGTATATAAAGATGGTTGTATATAAAGATGTAGTATAGGAAGGAAGACAGATATGAAGCAATTTTAATCTCAAGGTTTAAGAGAAGAGAAAGAGTGTATACACCTACGCCATTGTGATCGATTCTGAGCCATGTCACCTAGAGTCTCCAATCATTAGTCACAACAGTCGCGCGGACCCCAACCAAGTAGTCTGCATCTATCAAAATGGCTCAGACTGGAAATTAGTGACTTCATGCTCTGATGCCACATTTTGGTTTGACCGCCCCTAACCTTCTTCAAACCATCCCCAATACTAGTCAGCATAGCGCGTCGTGGTAATCGGTGTTCAGGCATACGTAACACATGGCCCAACCATCTCAGTCGATGAAGATTCATCACCTCATCAACTGATTTACCATCATTCCCTAATACCCTGTGTCTAACCTAACTATTACTTACCCGGTTATCCCAGCAGATGCGAGCAATATTTCTAAGGCATCTGTGGTCAAATACTAGTAACCATGTTTCACAGCCGTGAAGTAGAACAGAGCAAACTACTGCTCAATATACTCGTCCCTTAATTGATAGACGGATATCTCGTCTTCGCCGTAGGTGACGTAAGTTGGCAAAAGCCAAACTAGTTTTTTGAATCCGTGCAGAGATTTCGTCATACACCAACCCATTAGAGCTGATCAGACTTCCAAGACAAGTGAAGTTGCCGACGCGTTCGACTACTTCACTCCCTATCCTTAGTTCGGGTGTTGACGCAGGCCAGTCCTGGAGTAACAATTTACATTTGGATGGGGAGAAACGCATCCCAAACATCCTGGCATTATTACACAGTTCTATTAGAAGACGTCTTCACCAAATAGGACTATGTCATCTGCGTATTCTAAGTCGATAAAAGGTATGTTAAGTACTTTCCTAGATATCTCTTAGGAGATTTCAAAGAAAATTGATTCTATGGAATACGTTTGTCATTTCTCTTGGCTTCAGGAAAATTTCGTGAATAATTATCGATAACTCTTAACAAAAACTAGTAATATTCCGGCAAAAGACTATTTTCCTTCATTCGCATAAGAGTCATGATACTCACTCAGTACTTAAAATGAAGTTGTTGATCAATGCTGGTGGTTGTTTTATCATGGTGACTGATGTCCAACATAAGTCTGTATACAGTTAACTCCTTTATTATGCTGAATCACCATTGGTTTGTAATCAGGTGCTTCCATGTGCTGTAAATAAAGCTGCTATCTATCTGATTTATGGTCCGGACCTACCACGTATTACTACTTCTACCACTATGGGATTTGAATCGACAACATGTGGTATGGCAACTCGAACTGATGTACGTACGTACGAAGTTCTACGTTGTGACTGACTGACTGGAAGAGTGTATATAAATCCACAGCTGTATGAAGAGATTTCGAGTAGGACAACACATTCTTCTCATCTTTATTCATACCAGAAAATCTGGGTATACTAACATTATTCTATAGAATGTAGAATAGTCATAAACTATTAACATTCATCTGTTCATCATGACTTGCTGACTTCAGTTGCAAAGATTTTACAGCTCATTTTCTAGAAATATGGCTCTAAATAGAAGCTGGTGGTTGTCTCCCCGTCATCTTCAATCTATTTTATTCTATGAATAATGACGTTGAATAATTGTTTACTATGTTTGAGGTTTCTTCATTATTGTTATTATTGAACCATTCAGTATTATTCGGGGTTCTGTGAACGTTATTCAATTTGCAGTCAACGACTGACTTCAGCTAGAAGAGCAGAGGACACTGGAAAGCTGTTTTTGTTTAGTTAGGTACACCTCAACAGCTCACGAATCCACGACCTCAGAAAGAACTAGAACCAAGAGCTCGCTTGATCATTAATGATTTGCAGCCCCTTGACTGGTAACTGCACATCCGTATATTCTACTTAGGGGAACACTACGTGCTATGGTTAATGATACTACCCGGCTGTCCGAACCTAGGTAGGTGGACAGACACTCGAATCTTCTTCCGCCTAGTAGTTGAAAGTTGTGTTCTATGATTGTGACCACTGATTGGAACCCAGAGCCCTATATTCCCAGCTTTAATCAGTTCGTGATAGACAAAGACGAATATCCAGTCTCAGTCACAGCTATTCATCAGCACTTCGAGAATTGGCATCGAGCTTATACACTGCTGAACACATCCGATTATCGATCTATCTGTACGAAAAGGTTTGTAAATAAAGCATTATTCACTTCATTCTTGTAGAAACAAACAAAGAATGAACCTCATGAAAATCCTTACGTAATCTGTAAAAATGTCTCTATTGCTACAACTATTATCTGCTGCTGACTTATATTACACTATTATCTATATTAAGAACAGTTTTTCGCTGTTTGAAACAGATATTTTGTTTGAGTCTTAGTGCAAACACGAACACCGGTATGTGGCAGATACATTCAGCTGATGAGTGTCAAATGTGTCCTGGATTCCACTACTAGCCATTGTTAAATATGGTTATCTCTTTCTAATCATTGTAAGTGAAGGACTAGGATTTGGAACACGAGTACAACAGAGGTCGCTCACCACCATTCTCCATCCAACTCTGTCATCCACAATACTTTCTACTCATTTCCACTCACTATTCATCATTTTCATATCTACTTAAAATTCTCGATTCAGTGTGTCCTTCGAACTTCCTCATATCCGTTTCCATCCAAGATTACAAGATAGTGCTTGCCTCGTGATGCAGTTTGATGATTTCTGCAATATGTGTCCTATTCACTTCGAATGTATTTTCCTGATTTCCTCTTCACATGGAACTTGGTTTGTTCTCTCCTACAGTAGTCTGTCGCTGATCGTATCCATCCAATAGACATTGAGTATCTTGTGTAGACAATTGTTTATAAATACTTGTGCCATTTTGATGATGTTTGTAATAGTTCTCTACGTTTCATCTCCCTACTGTAGACCATCAACGTTGACGATGTATGTCGAATGATTGAAGGCCTACTCGAGTTAGACGGGAACGGTATAACGAACAAGCTAATTTCAAAGTCACACCTCGCGACCAGCACCTTACATGGATTGCCCCATCGACGTATCAAGGGACCATGGATGCTCTGTAGACTGTACAACACAAAAGATGTTATTACAGGACTATATTAGTTAAAGTAGATATAAGCGAAAGTAGTACCACTGCCGCATGGACCAATCCATTGAGTACGATTAACTGATGCGCGTTGATTGCCCTTGACCTTTACGGGGATCGATGATCTGTTCGATATTTAGTGACCAAACTGCCGGATGATTTGGCTAGGATTCAGTGACATTTCACTGGCCCTACACTACAATATAACTAACTTTGTTGACATTCGCATTGAAGATTGTTACATTGATATTGTTTTGAAGACAGTTGTTCTGAGTTCCATTTGTTCTTCAATTGTGGAAGTGCCACCCTTGTCTCTCTGATATTTACATTTGCATCAAATCAACATTGTTCATCGATGATACTGTCCAGTTAGGTGAAAGATTCCACCTCTTCCAGAACATCTTCATCAAGTGTGATTGTATTGGTGTTGTCCGTGTTGTATTTAAGAATCTTGCTTTTTCTTTTGTGTACGTTCAAGCCTACTGCTAATAGACACTTGTAGTGACCGGCTTGTCTCGACGAGAACACGTTTGGAATAATAGAAACAATAATAATAATTGTTATAACCAATTGTACCAGCGATTGTTTTACTGTACTTGTTTAACTGTATCAAACTCCCTTCTCCCTTCTCTCCATCTTGTTGGTTTGAACTCTCTTACGCCCTACCCTTTTTGTCTGTACTCGTTGATACGTCTTGGTATTCTTTCGATACCATGAGATCACCAATAAATATACTCTACCTGGACCAAATCACAATCTTTTGCTTTGCTAGTTATCAAAGGGACCAAATCGTTT